CACTTGGAAATCGGCGGCTTCACCCCCTCTGCCCCCCCAACCCCAACCCCCATCCGCCCGCCTGCGTCGTTCACCCCGTCGCGAAGGCTTCCCTTTGTGTGTTTTTTTCCCTTATTAAAAAATTTTTTTTAAAAAGAAAGTTATTTCGAGTCGCGCTCGGAGCAACGAAACGACTCATCGTTCCAGCAGCTCCCAACCGCCGAACGCCAATCGGGAGCACCAAAAAAAAAAAAACGCCCCCGAACCATCTTAAACCTCTTTCGACGCCTCTTTTTTTTTTAAAAAAAAAATAAAAGCCTCGACGCCTTTTCGTGTCGGTTTCGGTTCCGTTTTAGCGGCCTCCAGTTATTTTAACGGCGCTTTCCGTTATCCAGACCAGACCCACCCGCTGATCCATCACCCTGACCCTCCCCGTCTCCCCTCTCCCCCCCCCCAACCCCCCACCCTTTTCCCAGTAAACCGGCAGTTGCGTGTGTGTGTTGTTTTTTGGCTCTTGATTCCAGCGTTTAAGCGTAACTTGTTTATGGCTGCGGCGGTTTGTGTCGGATGTCGAACCGCTTCCCGAACCGTAGGGAGTAGTTTTTTTCCCGCAGGCGACAGACGCGCGCAGAATCAGCTGGAGAGCCCCGGACGGGCAGAAGGGTTGAGTTAAGACGTTCAGGTTGTCCGGGAAGAATCGTTAAATTCATGACGACCGAGTTCTTTGGGTTTATTAGGCATTTCCGAGAACAAAACCGCACGAGGTTGGCTCAGAGAAAATTTAAGCATTAGACGCAAGACAAGAGGTATTTATTGGTAGGTCACTGAAATGAGCAGCTTTCCCTCTCTTTTCCCCCAATTGTAGAGGAACGAATTAGTTTACACATTCAGAGGACTTATGTAAAATTTGTATAATACCTTCTATTAAAATGATTTGTACTCTATAGTCAGCTTTCCGGGAGATGTCTTTTATGATCATGTATAATGCCCCATCAGTTTTCCTTCGAATAAACTAATCTTTCGAATACCTTCACTATGTCGCTGCATCATTTCTGTGGATCGGGCTTTTATTTTTGCGCAATGGTCGCTGTCGCGTTTCGCCCGCAGAATACACACAGTCGCTCCACTTTCTGCGAAGGGCTCTGAGGCATCTCGAAGACGTGATAAGGCGCTGTGCCGACCGCACTCCCTGACCCATCAGGACCTTTTTAATCACTTGTGGGCATCTCAAGCCTTTCAAGGGAGTTTCTCCTCGTGTCTCCTGGTCAACAATCCTCCCAATAAAATCGGTCGCTCTTTCTAACAGCTGTTTGTGGGACGTCGCTGTGCGCAAATTGGTTGGACGTTTACTCATCAAAAACCCAACGTTACAGTGTGTCCTGTGAAGGCCATTGGGACATCTCGATCTGAAAGGCTCTCCACTAAATGTATATTATTGTCGTGTTACGTTCGAATCATTCCATAGAGGAATATGCGTTGGCGTAGGTGGCATGGCGCGGGAGCCAGCGATGTACTCACACCCCCATCGGCGCAAATTATTTCCCGCGTGAGTCAAAGCTGGAATCCAAATTTTCTGGAAAAACAGGTGGCGAGGAATTGTGCGCCTCTCAGCGCCTCAGTGGTTGGGTTGAGTGTGTTTCGACGACAACGCGTGACCCTTACCCGGCGTGTTTCATGTCAGGAGGACTTCCCAAGGCCCTGGACGGTCCTAGGGAACCGCGCCCGACCTGGGGGTTGGGATCAGGAAGGAGGTGGAGGGCGGGGAAGGTGGTGGTGGGGGGGGGGTAGGAGGGTGACCGAAGGTGCGGTCGAAGAGGAGGGTCTTGAGACTGAGAGCAAGACGGCAACGCTGAGAGAGAGAAAGAGAAGAGAGAAACAAACTCGACACAGCCGTCACAGAGGGCAGAGCGTTAGTCTGGGAGACAGACGAGACTTGACAGGTCTGGTCATCCTCCACTGCCCTCCTCCTATGTTTTGCATCACTAACACCTCTTTAACCCATCATCCCCTGTCCTCCATTTTCTCCTTTGCCTTTCTTGCCCTCTCGGTCAATCCTTAAAGCCTCTCCATCCCCCGGATCTCACGAAGGGTCATGGACCCGAAACGTTGACCCACTTTCCTCCCTCCCGCAGATGCTGCCTGACCTGCTGCGTGTTCCCATCCGACTCCTGTTTCTATCTCAGATTTCCTGCACCTACGGTAATTTGCAGAGGATTCTGAGAAACGAAACAAAAAAAAACAGCTTTGGATTTACCCACCGCTCATTATTTCCCCCCCCACCCCCCCCCCCCCCCCACCCCTTTGCTCTCCAGAAGACAGTGAGTGACTCATGCCCCGAAAAAGTTCCCAGGAAAATCCCGTGCGTTGTGAACGTCTGAGCTTTGAGAGGAGGGGGTGGTGGTGGTGGTGGTGTGGGGTGTGGGGTGTGGGGTGGGGGTGGGGGTGGGGGGGGGAGAACGTGATTGAGAGAGGGAGAGTGTGCGAGAGAGGGGGAGTGAGAGAGTGACGTCCTCCTGATGTGAAAGCACCAAACTCAAAAGTCATTATTATTCAATTATTATTATTATTTATTAATTATTATTATTTATTATTATTATTATTTATTATTATTATCCTGGCTCAGTTGGTAGCATTCCGGCCTCTTTTAAGTCAGAAGGATACAGGTTCAAGGCCGCAGGTAGAATTAATCGTTCACCTTTGAGGGGTGGGACGTTGCAACCGAACACACGGTCACTACACCGGAGAGGGGTCAGCTCGGACCGGGGTGGGATCTCTTCCGCTTCCCCTCCCGCGAGCGGTGAGGGTGGTTTTGGGCGGCCGGTCGTCGGTCGGTCGGTCGGTCGGTCGGTCGGGGGGACATTGCAACCAAAAAGCTCACTGGAAATTTCACAAAGAAAAGCTGTGTTTGTATTACTTTTCTCTTTTAAAAAAAAAGGTGGAGTCGAAATTCCGCAAATAATATGGGTTCTGGGGTTTGGCTAATTTCGCGCAGTGATGAGCCAGGAGACGAGAATATCTTTCCACTGAGATCATCGCCCCTCTCGGGCTGTCTCGTCGGCGGGACTTAAGGGAGAGAACTCGGAGGATCTTTCCCGCAAAAGCTCCTGTTAACAATAATAATAATAATAATAATAATAATAATAATAATAATATTCTAATCCTCGCGTTTGACGCGGCGCCTCATCACGTCTTCCCGAGACGTCTCGAAGTGCCTCGCGGGCGTACGCTGTGGGGACCGCGCGCGCCTGGCGGGCGAAAGGCGGGCAGCCGATTGCGCCCGGCGAGACGTGCCCCACGAACAGCCGTGGGTTGAGTCGCCGATTAGAGAGGTGGGTGGTGGGTGTTGGGTGTTGGGTGGTGGGTGTTGGGTGGTGGGTGTTGGGTGGTGGGTGTTGGGTGGTGGGTGTTGGGTGGGTGGTGGAGAGAGGGGAAGAAAGCAGAGGGGAGAGGGAGAAAGAGATGGTGATGGGCGCGGGAGAGCGCGCGAGAGAGAGAGAGAGAGAGAGAGAGAGAGAGAGTTAGAGAGGGAGAAGAGACGGGGAGGGGGGGGGGGGGAATGGGGGAAGAAGAGAGAGGGAGCGATGAGAGCGCAGTGGGGGTGGGAGGGTAAGGAAGTCATCAGTCGTTGCTGCTCTCACACACTGGAGCCTGACCCACATGTCGTGCTTCCCTGACAGATTGCTGGAGACCGTGTGATGGTGAGCCGGGGTCGCTATGGCGGCATTTGGACCGGGAACGAATGCTTTCTTGGCTCTTAAACATTGCAGACTTTTTTTTCCCTTCCTTCCCTCCCTCCCTCCCTCCTCCCTCCTCCCTCCCTCCTCCCTCCTCCCTCCTCCCTCCTCCCTCCCTCCCGCTCTCTCTCTCTCTCTCTCTCGCTCTCGCTCTCTGTCTCTCCGTGTGTTTCCATCATTCCTGAGTCCTAACTCCTCGCCCCCTGACCCCCCCCCCCAGAGCGGAGCCTTGATCAGTGCGGTGCGGAGAACTCCACCCTCCCGTTATCCTCGCCTCCTCGAAGGCGCGATAAGGCGCTGTGTCAAATCCAAGGATTATTATTACCACTACTATTATTATTATTATTGCTGTATTACTGGGATGATCGGGAGAGTGTTCCCGATCAAAGTTTGCATATTATTGCTGTCTATTCCTCTCCGAATTGCCCCATAAGGGAGGAGTTAATCCCTCCTCTCTTTCTCTCTCTCTCTCTCTTTCTCTCCCTCCCTCCCTCCTCCCCTCGCTCTCTCTCTCTCTCTTTCCCTCCCTCCGTCTCCATCTCTGCTTCTCTCCGTGTTTACACTTGGCCAAGTCATTAACTCTCCCTATTTTAAACAAAGAAAGAAACGGTTGAAAATATCCACCGGCTACAGATAGCAGTGTCGAAGGCTGTGGCATCTCTGGAATCTTACGTCCGCAGCTTCTCTTGCCCTCTCCCCAAACCCCATCTCCCCACACACACCCCCACACCACCCCACCACCGCTCCGCCCCCCCACCCCCACCCCACCCCCCCGTCGTCGAACTTTTCTCTCTCTTAATTAGAGAATAACACGATGGGATAATAGCTCAGTAGCGAGTTCGGGGTCTTGTGCGCACGTGTGAACCTCAGGAAGATGGGAGGAGAACTAGATGGACCTCTTGTCTTTTTTTTTGGGGGGGGTGGGGGTGCGGGGGGCAGAGGTGGGGGTGGTTTGGCTACCGCTCCCCCTCTCCCTCGCTCGGAGTCTGACCCCCATCGCTCTCCTGCGTGAAGGACAGAGCACATGAAGAGCGTTCGATTCCCAGGAGGGGGGTGAAACCTTAGCTACGTTTCCTTACTCCACACACACCCCCACACCCACCCACCCCACACCCCCACCCACACCCCCACCCCCACCCACACCCGCCTCTGTTTACCCGGCAGTAAGTAGGAACCCCTCCTGATAATCCCTCCAATAAAATAACAGTAACAATCCGGTCACTCAATGCCCCGCAATTGGCTTCCGCGTTTCGCCCACGAGACGCCCGGTCAATCCAGCGCTCCGAGACGTCGTGGGGCGCCGCGTCGAAGGATCGCGAGGGTGCGAGGAGGCGCCGGGAGCGGTGTGCGCGAGCAGCTGGGAATAACCAGCGCGCGAGCCCTGAGTGGTGGAGCAGAAATTCCACACGAGTATTATAAACACCGGGAACTGAAGAAAGAGGAGTATTGTGCAGGAAGGAGACTCGTTGCAAAGTTGTCCTTAAAAGGACAGAGTTGGGGGCTGTCCAACCCACAGCGAGAGCGAGCGAGGGAGCGAGGGAGGGAGAGCGAGGGAGGGAGAGCGAGGGAGGGAGAGCGAGAGCGAGGGAGAGAGAGCGAGGGAGAGAGAGAGAGCGAGCGAGGGAGGGAGCGAGGGAGAGCGAGGGAGGGAGGGAGAGTGAGGGAGGGAGAGCGAGCGAGGGAGCGAGGGAGGGAGGGAGGGAGGAGCGAGAGGAGAGGAGAGGAGGAGCGAGCGAGCGAGGGAGAGAGCAGCCGAGCAGAGCGAGGAGGGAAGAGCGAGCGAGGGAGCGAGAGGAGGAGGGAGGGAGGGGAGAGGGAGCGAGAGCGAGCGAGGGAGAAAGATAAAAAAATACAACCAACGGAACAACTCACTAGATTCCCGACGTGTAGACGAGCTGCATGGACTGATAGATCTTCAGGAACGGCTGGTAACCTGCAATCAGGAAGGGAAGGACACGTTGGGGCCTTTGGCATCAAAGATGGACGGCGGTATCCTCTCTCTCTCTCTCTCTCTCCGTAGATGCTGCCTGACCTGCTCTGCTGTGCGATCCCGGGCCACTGTCACGTCACCCGCAGTACTTTGCCTTTCGTCTCCAGCTAACGTCGGTTCGCTCCAGATCCCGAGACCGCCGTACGTTCCCCCCTTACTCGGTGGTCAAGAGGACCTGGGTTCGATTCCCGGGCGGGGCGGGGCGGGGCGGGGCGAAACGTCGGGCAGGTTTTCCTTACTGTTCACCCGGCGGTTACGTAGGCAGATATCCTGCCTGATACTGCAGAGCCTGCGGTTACTTGGCTCATTCGGTCCTCCAGCAATACGTAAACACCTCAACCCCAGGAACATTTCAGGATAAGAGCTTCAGCATTGTTCCACGAACAATAGCTGCCGCCATTTCCTCTGGACCGAACAATTTGTTCCTGTGGCGTACTGCGATACTTGCCTCCCGCCAATAATAATAATAATAATAGTAGTAATAATAATCCTTCCATTTGCTACAGCGCCTTTCGGGTCAGGAGGACGTCCCGAAGAGCTCCTCGGGGTGTACGATACAGTGCGGTGACTGCGTTGCCTCGTGGGCGAAACACGGCAGCCGATTGCGCACCGCAGTTCCCCCCCCCCCCCCCCCCCCCGTGGATTGAAGTGACCGAATCATTATTCTGATTGAACGAATCTATTTTTTGGAAGGGATCATTACCCCTTGAAAGCGATCCACCAATCGAGTAACAACCGAGGGGGGTTAGTGCTGGGGCGCGTGTGCGTGTGGCGTAAGGAAACTTGCCCAACGTTTGGCATTTGACCCGCCCGGGCATGGAACCCAGGTCCTCTCGCTTGCGAGGCGAGAGGCCTCCAACCGCTGAGCTCCAGAGGACTCAAAAAGTGGGGAGAAGGTACGGAGTGCTATGTGATGGTCAGTTCCAGGAAAGAATTACCTCCGTTCTGCTCGAAATTGGGAATAGATGGGATTAGGACATGGTGCAGGAACAGAGGCATGCTGTTCATCTTGATTGCTCCCGACAGCAAACCACTGAAATAATAAATGTATCTGTAGGAGAAAAACACAAGAAATGTGTCATTCATACCACGACGGGGTCACAAATTCGCGTTCGCGCCCCGAAAAGTGCGCCTTCTGCGAACGCTCGGGAGTAGGAACGTAACCCCGGAACACTCTCCCTCAATCCCTCCGCCTCCCCGCCCCCACCCCCCCACCTCCACCTCTCGCCCCCTTCCTCAAGTCCCGCCCGAAAACCTTCCTCTGCCTCCGGTGCCTTTATGCAGCAGTCTTCGCCGGTGGTGGCGGCGGCGGCGGTGGTGGTGGTGGGTGAGGGGTGGGTGGGGTTGCGTGACGGAGAGGTTAACAGTGGCGCAGTGGGCGCGGAAGGGCGGGCGGGCGGGCGGGGTGGGGGGGCGAATACCCGAGTCCCAGCGACCCCCTCCAATTAACGCGGCTGCTACTTGTTGGGTGCAGACCCCCATCATCTCACCTGGTCTGGGAAGGTTGAATGGTCGGTGCTACCTTGTCCTCACAGAACTTCCTCATCGCTAGTGTGCTGAGTGCTTGGTCAGCTCTACAAGGGGAGAAGAACAGGCCGGACGCGGGTTGCCTTCAAAAATAATCTTAGCAGCTAGCACGACGAAGACCCCCCCCCCCCCCCACCGACTCCCGACTCCCCCAAATTCCACAACAAAATCCCCCCTTTTTTGTAAACCGTTCCCCAACTTAAGAACATCGTAAACCTTAAGGCCAAGAAATAAACCGAAGTTCGCCTTCAACCGTGTCCTGGGGGTGGGGGGGGGGGGGGAAGAGGGGGTAAATCCCTCGAGTTGACTTAAACAGGGTGCTTTGGCCCCGTTTTACTCCGGCCCTCGCTCCGCCGACCCCTCGAAGGCCTCGCTCTCACCCACGGACAGGATCGAAACGAGAAGGGGGAGCTCTTACCCGGCGGAAATCTTGCTGTAGTGCATGAAGGCAGCGACGATGACTCCCGTCCGTCCTTTGTTGCCCTGAAAAACCACGCGAGCGGGTGAGTCACCCTGTGTCGGCCTGGCTCAGCGCTCAGCGCTCAGCGCTCCCTGAGTCAGGAGGTTGTGGGTTCAAATCCCACGTCAGGACTTGGAAGCTCTCACTCAACGTAGGTCCAATGTAACGATGACGATTAATAACAACTCTCGCGTTCTCGACTCAGCGCCTCGTCGCCTCCTCGAGACGTCTCAAAGCGCAGCTCGGAGATGTACTGCAAAACGTAGTGACCGTTTAGTCTATCGAACAACCGCCTCACTCTCCCCTCTTCCTCCTCCCTCCCCCCCCCCACTTCCCCCACTTCTAACCTCGCTTTTAAGGGGACACCAACAACGACGACGACAACAACAACCATACCACATTACATTTCCTTTGGGGTAAATGGGCTTCAGGAGGTGGGACCTGGGGTTCAGGGTTCAGGGGCCTTTCAGAGGACGTCCCAAGGCGCTGGGCGGTCAGGGATTTGGACCCGAGCTGGGGGGTTGGGGTCAGGAAGGGCGGAGGGTAGCGGGGGGGTAGGGGTAGGAGGGTGACCGAACTCGCGGTCGAAGAGTAAGGTCTTGAGACGTGCTTTGGAGGAGGCGCGGGAGGGGAGGGGAGCGAGCGAGCGAGCGAGGCGCAGGGGACTGCAGAGGGATGGAGTGTGCAAACGGCCGCCGCATACCGCCCGCAAAATATACGGACGCCGGACTTGACGAAGACTCCGTGAAGCGCTTCGAGACACCACCTTCGAGACACGGCTCTCGAGGCGCCGTATCAAACGCAAGGATTGCGATCGGGATTATTGTTGATAGTATCGTTCGTTCTAATCACCTCTTAAACCAGAGCTTCTGTTGGTCTTCTCCAGTGGTGTCCAGGGGACAAGTTGCAAAAGGTTGTGCGTTACGATCGAACCGGCCTTGCTGTTGAAAGGAGACATCATGGTGAGTTGAACGCACCGCTCTCAAGGCTATCCAGCAACCAGAATCCTTTTGTAGCCCGAAGCCCACCAAAGTCGGCCGACATTATGAGTCCCTGTATGGGTTTAGCGCCTTCGAGGCTCTGGAAGCAAAAGGGGTTCAAGGGAGGAAGGTCTTGAGGACAGGCCTCGAAGGAGGCGAGGGAGGGAGCGAGGTGAAGGGACTGTGGGATGGAGCTCCACAGGGCGGGTGGGGTGCGGAGAGACTCGAGGCCTGATCACCGATGGTAATAGAGGAAAAAGTTGGTTGAGGGAGAGGAGCACATGGGGTTCAGGAGGTGGGATTTGGGGTTCAGGGCTCAAGGGGTCGGCAACTGGGCGGGTCAGGTCAGGGCCAAACATTGGGCGAGTTTCCTTACTCCCCGCACACGCGCACACACGCGCACACACGCGCACACGATACAGTCAATTCAATTTCCCGTGAGAAGCGCTTTGAGACGTCTCGAAGACGCCGCGAGGCGCTGTGTCAAATGCGAGGCTTTGTTATCATTAATATCGTCGTCGCTGTGGTGTCCTCTGCAGGTGAAATGTTACCACAAGCGTTACAAACACCCGGACCGGGACGTGGTCTTCAGGACGCAGTTCCACACCTGTGCCATCCACGGCACGCAGCTGTGGTTCGGAAAGGATGAGCTGGACGAGGCCTTCAGAGGTGAGCGAGGCGAGACTCCTCCGCCCAGAGAACCCCCGCCTTAAAATGACCTGAGCGCCAAACCGCCGCCTCCGCCGCTTCTCTTCCGCTTGTGTCCGGCGCCTCTGGCGTCGGGAGGACGTCTGGGAGTGCTCCGCGGGCCGTGGGGTCTTGTGAGCCGTCTGCCGAGCGAGGAGGCGAGGTGACTGGGACGAGCGAGAGCGGGAGCCCGAGGTGTTCAGCCGTTGCTCTGTTTTTTGCTCAGACGACAGGTTTCCGCGAGACGCCGCCGTGGAATTTGTTTTCTCATCCGGACCGGAGAAGATAAAAGGTGAAGGCGAAAATTAATAGCGGGGGAGAGAGGTGGGGGGGGGGGGGGGGGGGGGGGGGGGGGGAGATGGGTGGGGGAGACGAGGGGGGGGGGAGACGCGGAGGTGGAAAGGGGGAAGAGTTTGATCCGAACTTGTACCAAATTACATTTGCAATGCGCCTTTCCCATTGGGAGGACGTCCCAAGGCGCTGTGTGGGGCGGAGGTGGGTGGGTGGGTGGGGTTGGGTGGGTGGGTGGTTGGCAACAGGGTGGGTGGAGGGTAGGAGGGCGGGCAACGGCTTGGTCAAAGAGGAGGGTCTTGAGATGGGCCTTGAAGGAGACGAGGGATGGGGAGAGAGAGGTGGAGGGACTGTGGGATGGAGTTACAGAGTGTATTGTGGGGGGGGGCGCGGGCGGAGAAGGCGAGGGTGGGGCCGGGCGGCGGGGGGGCGGGGGGGCGGTGGGTGGGGGTCAGCAGGTCACAGAGGGAGGGAGTGGGGGGGGGAAGGGGGGGGAAGGCCTGTGGAGGATCGTCGAAATAGCCGAGAGGGTGTGAGGGGCGCTGTTTAAGTGCAAGCTGTCGTTGTTGCCGTCGCTGTTGACCTTCAACCCCTCGCGCCTGAACCCCCCCCCCCAGGCCGAGAGCACCTGAGGAATGACGTGGGGGTCACCGTGGACTACAACACCTCGGACCCGACCGTCCGGTGGGATTCCTACGAGAACTTCAACTTCAACCACGAGGACAACACAGAAGGTGGGCAAACGCGGCCGAGAATCCATCCCCCACGGCCCGAGGTTCAACCCCCCCCCCCACCCCCCCAACCCCCGTGTCGACCCCGCCCGCTCCCTCCGCTCAACGGAGAGCTCCATGTCTCCTCCGCCCAAATCCCCACACCCCACGCCCAGCCTTCACCCCCCATTGCCGGTTGGGCCTTCAGCCTCTCACCCCCACAACCCTTTGGAACTCCATCCCACAGTCCCTTCTCCTCGCCCCCCTCACCCCCCAGCTCCCCTCCCCACCCACCCCTCCCCTCCCCTCCGTCGCCTCCTTCAAAACACATCTCGAGACCCTCCTCTTCGACCCTCCATCCCACCTACACATGGAACCTCCCAGGTTATTGGAATGGAATGCGCTCTCCGTCTCCCCACCTCTCCCCCCCTCTCCCCCTCTCTCCCTCTCTCTTCCTCCCTCCCTCTCCCTCTCTCTTCCTCCCTCCCTCTCTCCCTGGAGGGACGCCCCCCCCCCCCCCCCCACCACCCCCACCCCGCTTACCTAATTCCGGAGAGTATTAGGCGTAAGGTAACCGTAGGCACGATTCTCTGCCCCCTGGCTCGGGGCGGCGGGCGTGGGGTGGGGGGGCGGGGAGTGGGTGGTGGGGGTAGGAGTGGGGGCAGACTCCGTTGCATGGGGCGCTGTGTAAATGCAAATTGTTGTCGCTGCTGTCGTGGTATCAGTACCGTCCCGAAGGCCACCCACGTTACTTCCCGCTCGTTCCTCTCAGATGTGTTGTACACGCGAGGCCCGTTAGACGGAAGTCTCTACGCCAAGGTCAAGAAGAGAAGCCCGAGTAACGTCACGGCCAACGGGAGCCCCCCCAGCGGGAATGGCGTCCACAGCGGGCACGCCCTGTCCGTCAGCACCGACTCCGGACATTCCACCGCTTCGGCGAAGACGGAAGAACCCGGGGTCAACCCCAAGCCCCCTCCTTCTCGGTTGGAGAGGGAGCAGCTGGACAGGCTGCTGACGGGCTTCGGGGTGGGCCCCGGAAAAGGCCCCGGGCAGAACCGGGCCCACCCTCAACCCCATGCCCACGCCCGGCCCGTGCCCAACGAGCGGGAGACGGACATCCTGGACGACGAGGAGATCTGCCAGATGGATCGCTTTGCCACCCTGCCCAGGAACGTCCACCACCTGGGCCACTTCTGCGGCCACAAGGGCGGGCGCCAGTCCCCCAGGTACGGGCACAGCCCCGAGGGCCAGCGAAGCGACGTGTACTACAGGCCGGACGTGACCTTGGAGAGGAGGAGGTTCGCGTACGAGGGCGGCGTGTCGCACGTCAACGACTTGGGGCAGGAAAGCAGGTCCCACGACCCCTATGATCACGTGAAAAGCGCGGATTCCCCTCACTACCAGCCCCCGGGCCCGGACAGGACCAACTATCAGCGCCAACGCAGCGAGGTACTTCATGGGTACCCGGCAGGGTTCGTCTGCGCCGAGAGGATGCCTCAAGGCCTCATCCAGAGAGCGAGGCATCGCGACGAGGTCCACAGAGACCACGAGGCCAAGGCCGGTCGCTACAGGCTGATGGATTACCATCCGGGGCAGGGCTTTCTGGACGGACACCACCTCCAGTTCCTGGAGCAGAGCTTCCCACCGGAGATGGCGTCCCACCTGTGCCCGTGCCAGGCTTGCGCGTCCCAGCTCCCCCGGGAGGAGATGGAGCGGGCATTGGGGGGACTTAAGCTGGATCACGAGCCCTTGCCCATGTACCAACACCCGGTCTCGCCGGGCTCCGAGATATGGCAGATGAAGCCCCATTTGGTCGCCAACCCGGCCCGCAGCAGCCAGCCTCCTCAGGCCCTGCCTCTGCTGATACCCCCCCATTCCTACTGCCACTACCCCCGAGGTCAAGGCTACCCCCCGCTCGCTTACGGCCCCCTCCACAGGGAAATGCCAACGCCAGCGCAGATGCCACATGTCTACGCCTCTCAGCTGAGGCCATCATCTCCTGGGCAGTTCCAGCCACGGATGGATGAGTCTCCAGAGCCTCTCGTGCCTTACTTGAGGTACCCCGAACTGGATTACCAACCACACGGTTACCACCCTTACAGCTATTACCAGCAGCCGCTCTGTGCCAACAGGAACTGCGATAGGTGCCCTGGCACCTCGTTCACGTCTCCCTCGGACTTGAGTCCCACCCCCAGGGGCTCCCAGAGCCCTCTGTCCGGCTCAACCTCCCCGGTGGGATTGGGCCAGTCCCAGATTCTGTCGAGGGCTTTAAGCGAGAGAACGGTCAGGAGAGAGGAGGAAGCCCCCGATTCGCAGCAGTCGCCTGCTGGTGAGTACCGGCGAAGCTCGGCGGTTGGAGCCCTCTCGCCTCGCAAGCGAGAGGACCCGGGGTTCGATTCCCGGGCGGGTCAGGACAGGGCGAAACTTTGGGCAAGTTTCCTTACTCCACGCACACGCACACGCGCGCACACACACACGCGCACACACACGCCTCTGGTTACCCAGCGGTAAGTAGGAACCCGGTCGTTAGTCGATTGGCGGACGGCTTTTCCGGGGGTAATAATCCCTTCCAGAAAGAATGGATAAATAATAATAAATCGGTCACTTCCACCCACGACTATTTGCGGGGACCTCGCTGGGCGCGATATGGCTGCCGGGTTTCGCCCGCGAAACACGGCGGTCCGCCCGCTTTTGCTCCCCCAGCAAATCGCGGGCTCGACCGTTCCGTTGGTCACCTCCTCGAGGCTTCTCGACGAAGCCACCGGCCTCCGAACCGGTGCGAATAGCAATCCTCGCGTCCGTCAAATCTCCCCTCGGGCCTCCTCCGCTCTCGGGAGGACCCTCCCCAGTTTTCTCGAGCCCCCGCGGGTTATTCTGGTCAGACTCGTTGTTCGCTGCTAACCCGGCCTCGGTCCTGTTGCTCTCTGTTGAAGCTCATCACTGCGCTGACTCCTCACCTTGGGGGGATGACCCTTCCACGCTCCCGGCTCCCGGGCAACCTCAGGGCACCGAGTCCTTGAGAAGGTACCATCGAGAGGCTGGAGTCACCTGCAACAGCCTCCCCCGACCCGCTGAGCCGTTGCCCCCGATCCACACCAGCAGCCCGGTGTATCCCAGGTAAATCCTGCCTTTCCCAGCAACTACGTCGACGACGACAGCTGCAACAACGACAACAACGCCGCCGCCACCACCAACTTGCGCCCCCTCGTGCAAGGCAGCGTCCCATTAACAATCCTCGCTTTCGTTGGCGCGCCTCGTCGCGGCGTCTGCGAGCCGTCCCGCCGAGCGCCTTTGCGGCTTTTCCGTGACGTGTAGTGACTGTGCGCTTGGCGGGCGAAGGGCGGCGGCCGATGGCGTGACATCGTTTGGGAGTGAGTATGAGGATAATAATAGTATTATTATTAATCCTTGCATTTGATGTCTCCCTCTCCCTCAATCCCTCCGCCTCGCCCCCCCCCCAACGCCCCCCACCAACCCCCCCCCCACCCCCTTCATCGTGTCCGCAGGTGCTGGTAGCAGAGAGTGGGTGTGGACCTCAAACCCCCGAGCCTTCGTGGACCTCCCCAGCAGAAGGCAACATCCAGCTGCCCGCTCGGCCCAGGTTGCAATCGGGCGAGGTCCCCGGCAGATGCCCCGCGATCGAGGGCCCGACCGACGCGTCGCCAGGGGGCCGCGAGCTGAACGGCCGGCAGGAGGGCGCGGGTCAGGCTGGTGCTGGGTTGGTGCTCGGCGCCCAGTGCGGCCTGAACCACGGCAACAGGGTGAACTTCTCCGCCGGTTCCCCGGGTCGGTGCAGCCCTGGCTTCGGCGAGCGTCCGATGGAGGCCTTCTCGGAGACGCTGGCGCGACACCGCTCGGGCAGCGCCTCCATCTCCCCCTGCCCCGTGGCCTCGGGGAGCCAACCCCCCTCGCCCGACCTGTCGGCCTCCCAGGGCAGCCCGGACTCCCAGACGCCTCCCACGCCGGCTTTCCCCGTGTCCTCGCCACACTACGCCTCCCGGGACGAGGCGTTCGTCTACCAGCAACAGCCGCCGCTGCCGGAAAAGCGCAGGATGTCGGCCAGTCACACCCTGCCCAACGGGAGGTCTTTTTCCCCGACGCAGAAGGCCGAGGCCAACCCACATCATGTCACCTTCTCCCCCAGCACCTTGGACATCGCTGGGCTCTCGTCAACAGGTGAGCAACAACAACAACAACAGACCTGAGCTGGGGGGGGGTGGGGGGTGGTCAGGGGCCGAGGAGGGTGGAGGGCGGTAGAGGGGGTGGGGGGGGGGGGGAGAAGGGGAGGGACTGCGGGATGGAGTTCCAGAGGGTGGGGTACAGAGTGGCTGAAGGCCCGTTTGACACAGCAACTTGTCACGTTGTGGAGACGTCCCAAAGAATATGGCGTCGAGTGGATTGGAACGACACGGGGGGGGGGGGGGCAATGTTTCCGGCCATTTTGGGAGCCTTTCTTGGGCCAAATAAGGGACATTCGGTAGCAAGAGACAGCCGGCGGACACCCAGCTCTCCGGTCTGACGTGAAAGGCGCCCACGTCAAAGTGTTTCCGTCTCTGCCGCCTCTTTCCACGCGAACCCCTTGTTTCTTTCCCGGGGCTTAAGCCCCGCCGTGTTTGAGTGGGTTTGAACCCTCCCGCGCGCGCGTGTGTGTGCGCGTGTGGTTTTTTTTTATTTCTTTCCAGTCGTTCCGTGGCGAAATCTTTTCGTGTCACCTGTACGCGTTTCCTTCGCCCCTTTCCTCTCTCAGATGAGCAGCTGGAGACCCAGTTGAGCGCCAAGTTCGTGCAGGACACCTCGAAGTTTTGGTACAAACCGAACATCTCCAGAGACCAAGGTGAGAGGCCTCGCCAACCGCAGGAATAACCCTCGCGTTTGACTCAGCGCCTTATCGCGTCTTCACCTACAAGGCCATTCACGGCCTCGCTCCCTCCTACCTCTCCAACCTACTATCCCCCTACCTACCCGCCCGTACCCTCCGTTCCTCCGGCTCCGGTCTGCTCCACGTCCCCCGCCCCAATTGCCCTACCATCGGTGGCCTTCAGCCTCTCAGCCCCGAGGCTCTGGAACTCCATCCCCAGTGCCTTCGCCGCTTCCTCCCTCTCCTCCTTCAAGGCCGGTCTCAAAACCTTTCTCTTTGACCTTCAGCCTTCAGCTCCCCTCTCGACTCTCTTCCCCCTCCTCGCTCCCTCCCTTCCCTCCCCTCACCCTGACCATTTCCCCCCTCCTCGCTCCCTCCCTTCCCTCCCCCCACCCTGACCATTTCCCCCCTGCTCGGGTCATGACCCAACTGTGCAGCGCCTTGGGACGTCCTCCTGACGTGAAAGGTGCTTTATAAATGGAATCTTGTTGTTGTTGTTGTTGTTCGAGACCTCTCGAGTGCGTGTGCAGAGTAAGGAAACTTGCCCGACATTTCGCCCCGACCCGACCCGACCCGAATCGAACCCCCGGGTCCTCTCGCTTGCGGAGGCGAGAGGGCTCTTCGCCACCGGGCCTCGGCTTTCACCGCCCTCCTCGGCCTCGAAAGACGTCGCTCCGCGGTTCGCCCCCGATTCGGACCCTTACGAATTTGAATCCGGGTTCCTCAGCCCTCCTTTCCCCCCCCCCCACCCCCCCCCCACCCCACCCCTCCGCCCCACCCTCTCAAAGCAGCATCGCCATCGAGAGCTTTCAGCAGCGAGTATCTAGGTCAAACTTTGGAGGCTTTACAGCCGGGTGCCAAGGATTTACCCGGAGAGTCACTCAAATCCTGTCCAGCTGAAGTTTCTTGGATCGAACTGAATGTTCCCCTGGAGTTCCTGGAGGGATTGTGTCACTGCATTTGGGAACGTCTGGTTTTTTGGCTCAGTTCTCGCCTTCCCATCCCATCCCATCCCATCCTATCCCATCCCATCCCGCACCCCCCCCCCTTCCACACACACACACGCACACGCACACGCCCCCGTGTTCCTGGCTTCTCTGCCTTCAGGCACAGCTAAAAAGCCGACCCGTTGACCTTCCTGTGACGCACCCGACCACTTGCTCACGTCAATCGAGGAGCCTCGTTTGGAACGACTTGGCCGGAGGAGTGTCCACGCAATCGCTGGGCCCTCAGGTCGTTGAAATATCCTCCCCAGTTCTGGACGGTTCTTGAGTTCGTTTCGTCTCGGTCTCCACCCGGGTTTTTTTTTTTTTCCCTTTTTCGGTCACTCGCTTCAAGGGGGTCGCGTTCGACCCGGCGCCTGGTCTCGCGCCCTCGGGACGTCTCAAAGCGCTTCGCGGGACGCGCTGTGAGAGCGTGGCGACGGTGCGCGTCGCGGGGCCGAACGCGGCAGCCAGTCGCGCACAGCAGCGTCCCCACACGCGCGCACACGCACGCGCACACGCACGCGCGCGCACACAGCCGTGGTTTTGAGTGGCCATTCGTTTACTGCGCGATAAAGGCGCTGTCTCAAACGAACGCATTATTATTACGATTACCGCCGTCATAACTATGACTAAAACGACGCCACTCACTCGCACCAATCCTCTGCACGTCAGAACACACCGCGGAGCGCATCGGGTCATCATTCTTCCACGGATTTCAGTCGTCCATCAGCGCGCGGTGCGCGCGCGGGTGCAGCGCGTGGAAAGGAAAAAAAGACTTTGTGGACATCCTGAAGAGCAATTGATTTTACTGTTTGTTTGATTGCAATTAAGTGAGAGGGGTGGGGGTGGTTTATTTACTTTTCCAGCTATTTCGCTGCTAAAGAACCAGCTGCCAGGGTCATTTCTTATCCGAGACAGTAACTCGTTCCAGGGAGCGTACGGTCTCGCCCTCAAAGTCTCCTCACCTCCCGCGAACCTCACCTCCCAGAGCGGCAAAGGTACGTACGTGTCTCAGATGGGTGCGGCGGCTGATTCTCTGTTAGAGCGCCTCTCTCGCCTCTCTCGCCTCGCGAGCGGGAGGGACCCCAGGGTTCGGGTCAGGGCGAAACGTTGGGCAAGTTTCCTTGGTCCACGCGCACACGCGCACACGGGCGCCTCTGTTTACCTCGAAGACGTCTCGAAGGCGCTCTATCAAATGCAAGGAGTATTATTATCATCATTATTATTATTAATAAGGGATAGGAGGCAAAGGCGGGTAATTGGGGTTGAGGTACAGATCAGCCACGATCCTACAGCATGGCGGAACAGGCTCGAGGGGCTGAATGGCCTCCTCCTGTTTCTATGAATCTCTGGGCTTGTTTGGGAGGGGATGAGGATGGAGGGGCGGGGGTGGGGGGGGGGCGGGCGGGGCGGGGGGGGGGTGGGGAAGGGAGGGATGGAGAAGCTGTCTCTGCCCCTTGACTCTCTGCGTCGTGTCTCGCAGGTGACCCCAGCGAGCTGCTCGTCAGGCATTTCCTCATCGAGATGGGGCCCAAAGGCGTGAAGATCAAAGGTTGCCAGAACGAACCCTACTTCGGTAAGGGTTTAACCCCCCCCCGCGCCCCCCGCGCGCCGGGGGGTTGATTTCCGACCGTCGCCGCTCCCTGTGCGCCTGCAAACCCGCACCCCGTGGAGTCCTGTAGCGGTTAGAGCACTCGCCGCGCGGGGAGGGAGGAGGAGAGGAACCTGGGTTCGATTCCCAGACCTCCTACCCCCTACCCTCCCTGCTCCCAAACCGCCCCCCCACCGCGCCCCCCACAACCCCCCCCCCCTCGCCCCTAACTCGGGTCCAAAATCCTTGGAGGTCCAACCCCCTGTGGGATTTCCTGCTGACGTAAAACCCGAACCTGTCCGCGAGCGCTTCTCTGTCCAAACACGCGGTGTTTCCGTGCGCCCTTTTTAGTTAACTCGTGGCTCTTATGGCACGCGGCAGGCGGATGGGCCGTCGAAGCTGGGACCGGGAGGAATTTTGACGCCCGCGGGGCGGTCGGTGCGCCGGGGCGGGGCGGGGCGGGACGGGGCGTTTCAGGAGGCATAAGTGCGGAGAATGACTCGTGTTGTGTGTGTGTGTGTGTTTTTTCTCCTCCTCTCTCTCGTGTGTCAGGAAGTTTGTCGGCCTTGGTGTACCAACACTCCATCACTCCCATCTCCTTGCCCCACAAGCTGAAAATTCCAGACCAAGGTAACGTGCGAGCGTTCGAGCCGTGGGAGATACCGTATTGCCCACCCCCCCCCCCCCCCCACCCCAAGACGCGCAGTCACTACGCTTTGCAGCCCCCCCCCCCCTGCTGGACGGTCAAGGATTTGGGCCCAAGCTGGGAAAGGTGGTGGTGGTGGTGGGGGGGGGCTGGGATCAGTGTGGGTTGCGGGGTGTGGTGGGGGGTGTAGGAGGGCGGCCGAAGGCCAGGTCGAAGAGGAGGGTCTTGAGACGGGTCTTGAAGGAGGCGAGGGAGGAGTGTGAGGCGGAGGGACTGTGGGATGGAGTCGAACCCAGGTCCTCTCGCTTGCGAGGCGAGGCTCGCTCACCGCCGAGCTACAGGGGTCCCACGTGTCGTATCCGACTGCCTGTTCCTTGGAGTGGGTGGGAACGGTGTATGGGAAAAGTTTCGTGTTGGATATAAATTGCGGTTCAAGTTTCACCCAACAAAAAATCTCTCCCACTCCCTCTTCGTTCCGCGCCACTCAGTTTAACGAGAGTTGCGGTCATCTAATGGGACCGTGGATCCTCCTTTCACCAGGAGAACTCTCTCCAAACCATCTGCGGCTCCTTAGCGCTCGACACATTTCGTGCGACTGGGCCTCGAGACAAGGGTTTGGACGGAGTCCCATTGGCAGAGGCAATGGTGCTCCTTGTGTGTGGTGGTTGATAGTCCTCTTCCGCCCCCTAGTGTTTGCTCCCCACCGTTGCTCGGGCCTCGCTGGTTGACGCCTTGAGTTCAATCATCTCGCCTCAGTTAATTCCACACGCACCGATCATAATAATAAGTAAGAATAATAAATAATCCTCGCATTTGACGCGGCGCCTTATCGAGACGTCTCAAAGCGCTTCCCAGGAAACACTGCAAAGTGCAGTGACTGTGTATTTTGTGGGCAACATCGAAAGCCTTGTCGTTATTTAGCTTGTCACGGGTGATCGTGGGTTCGGCCCTCGCGAATTTCACATCCTTCACCGAGTATCTTAGGACTTCAGGGTTGCCGTTTGCCCTCAGCGTTGCCTCTCTCCCTTCTCCAGATCCGACCGATGAGGCCCACAAGTCCATTGCACCGGGCAACACAAGCACTGCCGTGGAGTTGCTCAAGCGGGGAGCAGGTGAGAGTTCCCGGTTTCCAAGCTAATGTCTCGTACCAACACCAACACCACCAACACCACCATCACCGCCACCACCACCAACACCCCCATCACTGCCAACACCGCCACCATCACCACCATCACCACCAACACCACCAACACCACCACCACCACCAACACCAACACTACCAACACCAACACTACCAACACCACCATCACCACCATCACCACCAACACCAACACCGCCACCATCACCACCATCACCACCAACACCACTAACACCACCAACACCACCACCACCAACACCAACACTACCAACACCACCATCACCATCAACACCAACAACAACACCAACAACAACGCCCCTCACACAAGGTAGGGTCCCAGAGTGCTTGACAGTGGCTGAACGCGACTCCGAGCTGGGCAGGGGAGGGAGGAAGGGAGGGAGGGAGTGGGAGGAGGTGACCGTAAGCAAGGGTCGAAGAGGAAGGTCTTCTTCAACAATAGCCAATCCTACAGTGTGTGCAGTAGGGAAACATGCCCAAGGTTTCGCTTTCCTGCCCTGCCGGGGATCGAACCCAGGTTCCCCCTCGCTTTGCGAGGCGAGGGCTCTAACCCTGGGTCTGGTGAGCTTCGAGAGACGATTAAATACTTCGCCTTGTGTTTGTCGCCCGCCCGCGCTCTTGTTCTTTCAGCGTGTAACGTGCTGTACGTCAACTCGGTGGAGACGGAGTCTCTGACTGGGCCGCAAGCCATCGCCAAAGCCACCGTGCAGACCTTTGCCTCGATCCCTCTCTCCACGGCCATCGTGGTGCACTTCAAAGTCTCTCTCCAGGGCATCACCCTGACAGACAGTCAAAGAAAGTAAGTTGGCGTCTCGGAGCGCTTAACAATGGCGGAGCTTGACGCCAAGCCAGGGGGAATGGGGGTTGGTGACCGTAAGCACGGTAAGCCCTCAATTTGTTCATCCCTCGCCCCCCCAGCCCCCCACTCCCCTCTCTCCCCATTTTCAGGTCACGCTTGAAGACCTTCCTCGAAGAGGGAGAGAGGGGAGGCGGCGAGGGGTGAAGGGATTGAGGGAGAGAGTCCCACGGTTTCGGGGCGTAGCGGCTGAAAGCACGGCTGCCGATGGTGGGGCGAAGAGTCTGGGGGTGGGGGAGAGGGGTGGGGGGACAAGAAAGAGGTGAATGCCTCTTCGCGTAGGAGTGAACCGGGCAGCGCAGCAAAAGTATGTTGAGATATCTTCTCTTCCACAGGATATTTTTCAGGCGTCACTACCCAGTGAGCACAGTCACTTTCTGCAGTTTGGACCCACAGGACAGAAGGTAAGTCGCCAAGGCTGAGATATTCCCTCCTTCTCTTCCTCCCCCGGTCCCCCTCTCCCCCCACCACCACCGCCCCCCAACCCCTCTCCCTCTTCCCCCTCTCTCCTCCCCCACTCCCTCCCTCCCTCCCACCCTCTCCTCCCCTTTCCCTCTCCAGCAAAATGCAACGCGCTTTCCAGCGAATCACGTGAAGATCGTTGGGACAATTCCCCGTATCAAATGTAACGAATATTATTATTAGCGCAGAGCGAACGAGACCCCCAGGGACACGGGAGAATAAACCCCAGGGAGTCTGCGGACCGTTCCCTTTAGCCACCCATATAACCTGTGGTTTCTTTTCAGATGGACTAATCCAGATAGCACCACATCCAAGTAAGTCCTTCTCTGAGACATTGGAATGATCCGTGGGGTGGGGGTTGGGGTGGGGGTTGGGGTGGGGGTTGGGGTGGGGGTTGGGGAAGGGAAGTAGCAGGGCATTGACCCAAACCACACTGCCGTGTGATTCAGGAGAAGCAAACAGCGGGGAAGAAGGGGGGGGGGAAGGGTTAAATCTTCATTGGTTCATTGGTCGCGCTCTCCGAGTCAGAAGGTTGTGGAGTGACTGTGTGTTTAGTGGGGGAAACACGGTGTCCCCACAAACAGCGGTGGATTGAGTGACGAATATTTTTTTGGGGGGGCGCGGGCGGGGGGGGGTGGGGGGGAGGAGTGGGTGAGGGATTATTACCCCCAGGAAAAGCGATCCATCCACTAATCGACTAACAACCGGGTTCCTGCCGGGAAAGCAGAGACGTGTGTGTGTGTGTGTGTGTGTGGAGTCAGGAAAATTGCCCAACATTGACCCCCCGGGAATCGAACCCCGGGTCTCTCTCTCTCTCTCTCTCTCTCTCTCGCTCTCGCTCGCGAGTCGAGGGCACTAACCACCGAGCTACGGGGCCCCTCTCCCGATGACGACGACCGTAAATAGTTCTTGAACTGATTCCCTCTCTCCCACCCCGACCCCACCCCACTCCCCACCCCCACCCCCACCCCTCCCGCTCTTGTCTCTCCCTCTTCCAGAATGTTTGGCTTTGTCGCCAAGAAGCAAGGGAGCACACTGGACAACGTCTGCCACCTCTTTGCCGAACTGGACCCCGAGCAGCCCGCCTCGGCCATCGTCAACTTCATCACCAAGGTCATGCTGGGACCCCAAAAGAGATGAGACCGCCCCCCCAAAAAAAGAAAAAAAAAAGAGGAGCCGTTATTGTTTCGAAAGCGAGTCGAGAGGCTGGAGAGACAGAGAGAGAGAGAGAGAGAGAGACGGAGAGAGGGACAGAGAGAGAGAGAGAGACGGAGAGAGGGACAGAGAGAGAGAGAAAAGGAGAGAGTGAGAGAGACAACATTGAGGTCTATATTGCGTTGACGTCAGTGTTGGTATACGTTAGGAAACCCATTATGTCTTTGTCCAAAGGTCCACCAGATCCTTGGTCCTAACGTATAATAATAATAATAATAATCCTTTCATTTGACACAGCGCCTTTATCACGTCTTCGAGAGGTCTCGAAAGCGCTTCGCGGGACACCCTGTGAAGCGTAGCGACTGGGCATTCCGTGGGCCAAAACTTCTCTCTCGACTGACGCAGCCACGGAGGTTTCTCGCAGTGCAGATTGTTCGGAGGGAGACGGAGGGAAAGTTTGCAGTATTTATCCGGTACAATCCGGTGCGAGCCTGCGTTTAGAAAACGCGGGAGCCACGGCGGAGGATGGGGGAAGGCGGTGGGGGAGGGTGGGGGGGTGGGGGGGGGGGGTGACGTGTTGGGAGGCGATAAATATGACCGGGGCAAAGAAATCCAAGTGGTTTTTGAAGCGAAACAATGCAATACAATGCCAAATTACGGCGGGAGGAGGTCCCAAGGCGTTGGACACTTACGTAGGTGATTGCACGATTGATAACAATAAGACTTACGCTGTAGTTATGTCGGTGCCTTTGGGTAAAGCAGTGGAATCGAAGCCGCCTATGCGCCCCCCACCCCTTTCTCTCTCTCTCTCTCTCTCTCTCCCGCTGTCATTTCTCTCCGAGCTTGAGACCGACCGACCGGCCTTTTGTTACGGCGCCTCTCGATCAGACCCGAGCGCAGCCTCGTGCCTCGGAGTGACTGTCCCTCGGCCCGTGCCTCGAACGCCAGCCCGATGTTTTCTGTCCCGCTTCACCTCCCGCCCGAAGCACGCACTTTCACGCGCAGACTTGCACTGAGAATGGATTTTTGCACGTTTTTTTAGCTTGACCGTCGCAATCGGGGACGTGATGGAGAGTTTATAGGAGTAGTAATGATAATAATCCTTGCGTTTGATATAGCGCTTTTCGCGTCGGGATGTAATTAACGCACGAGTGAGGGGTAACACGCTTCCTCGTGGGTCGTTAATTATATAACCGAAGGCCCCTTTCTATCCCTCTACGCGCTCGCGTTTCCAAATGGTTTGTGTACGTGGCGTATTATACAGAGCCCATTAAAATCCGAACCTACGGTAATACGCCCTACTATCTCTCTCTCTCTCTCTCTCCCTCTCTCTCTCTCTCTCCGTGTCGTTAAGGCTGTGAGGGCTAACGCAGTTAGAGGCTTTCCAACTCGCTTCTGTCGTAACTCGTGAATCTCCGCAGGAAAATTGCACTAAAAACAAATTAATTAATCGTGGAGAGAGCATCTGGTGACTTTTCAGTCCAGTCTTTCATCTCGAGACGTGTTTTGGGCAGTGAGTATTAAGCCAGTACCCCCCCCCCCCCCCCCCCCCCCACCACCCCACTTGCTCGATTAATTAATACGTTGTCCGCATTAAATGACCAGTAAATCCCTCTTGCGCTAAAAGGGTTAATCAGATGTGCGGGTGACATTTTGAACAGTTGACTCTCTCTCTCTCTCTCACGGGCTGGGAGTGGGCGGAACGCAATCCAGCGACCGTCCTCGTGTTTGACACAGCGCCTTATCGCCAGGACGTCTCACGTGGAGTCCTGTCGCTCAGCGGTTAGAGCACTCGCTTTGCGAGCGAGAGCCGGGTTCAATTCCCGGCAGAGGGCGAAACCTTGGGCAAGTTTCCTTACTCCACACAGAGCCTAATAATAATCCCTCCAAAACCAAAAACAATAATAAATTGGTCATTTTCAATCCACGACTGTTTGCGGGACATTGCTGTGCGCAATCGGCCGCCGCGTTCGCCCACAAATATACAGTCGATTCACTTTACAGTGCGTTCTGTGAAGCGCTTTGGGACGTCCTCCCGACGTGAAAAAGCGCTATGTCAAATGCGAGGATTATTATTATTATTATTATAAAGCGCTGCCCGGGACACGCTGTAGAGGGGCTGCGTGTTTCGTGGGCGAAGCGCGGACAGCCAATCGCGCACAGCGGCGTCCAGCAAAAAAACAGTCGTGGGTTGAGCGGGATTCTGTGGTTGAAGGGATCGTTGCCCCCGAGGACGATTCTTCTACCCCCAGTCCGTTATTTACAGATCACCCGGACTGCAAATTTGCCCCAATTTAAGCTAAAAACATTCACGTTGATGGGCGTTGTCCGGAGAGAGAGAGAGAGAGAGAGAGAGAGCGACAGAGAGAGAGAGTTATCTCCCCGATAAGATCTGCCCAGTGCCGGAGCCCTCAACCCAAACCAGCGGAGCATAGCGCGTCCGCGTATATAATATATTCTACTCTGTGTAGGAATCTCACGAGAAGATTCTGTTCGCTGTGGGATCTCCGAATGGATTTGTGACTGAATGAAGCGAATGAGTTATTTTAATAGTTTCTGTTGCGCTTATTTTTTTTTAAGAAAAGTGCAGATCGGCCGCTGTGCGTTTCCTCGGTTCGGGATAAGTCTTATTTGCGGACACGTCTTTTTTTTATTATTAATAATAATAGTAATAATATATATATAGCTCTGTACAGATACAAAGACGGGAGTTTATAGGTTCAACGCTGACGGATCGGTTGGAACTCTGCAGCTCGTGTCCTCTCCCGCATCAAGTTCCGGGAACACCCCCCACGCCCTCCCCGATCACCCCCCACCCCCTCCCCGATCACCCCCCATCCCCTCCCCTTCCTCCCCCATCATCCCCGCCCTTTGGAACTCCATCCCACAGCCCCTCCGCCTCGCCCCCCTCCCTCGCCTCCTTCAAGGCCCGTCTCAAGACCCTCCTCTTGGAGCACGCCTTCGGTCACCCCCTTACCCCTACGCTCCCCGCCTTCCGCCCCCCTCCCACACCCCCACCCCCACCCACCCCCGAAAGCCGGTGTTTGGGCTGATTGTGTCTGCGCTGGTGTTTGGGTGATGTGTTATTGTGTCAGTGCTAAACGTGCGTTAACCTTCACATAACTATATTGAAATGTACAAACATTTGCGTTCACAGATTATAATCAGACTCCAGAGCACATGGGGTGAGGAAGGCAGTGATTGATTGATTGATTGATTGATTGATTGATTGATTGATCGATCAATCGATTGATTGATTGATTGATCGATTGATTGATTGATTGATTGATGGCGCCCGGCTTGTGAATGTTTGTGTTGCGCTCGTCCCCCATGACCGGGTCGGGGCAACGAAATAGCAGTGGTGGAGATTTAGCTTCTTTTGTAAGCCAGTTTCTAAGTAATAATAATAGTAATAATAATAATAAATACTCCTCGCATTTGATACAGCGTCTTATCACGTCTTCGAGACGTCTCAAAGCGCTCCACGGGATACGAATTTTGACTGTATGTTTTCTGGGCGAAACGCGGCAGCCGATCGCGCACAGCAGCGTCCCCCGCAAACAGTCGCGGGTCCAAATAATTTGCTATTATTATTATTATTATTATTATTATTATCATTTTTTTCCGAAGGGATTGTCAGAGCGTCAGCGCTGTCGTGGAACGATCCCGTTCTACAGAAGTCAGGAAACGATGGCTTTGAATAGCTGCGAATGTATGAGCGTACGACAAGGAACCAAAACAAAGTACTTTACACGTGGGAAAGGATGGGGGGGAGTGGGGAGGGGGGGTTGGGAGAGAGAGAGAGGACACAGGGTTGCGGAGGGGGTGGGGGGAGACAATTACTTGGCTTCCCCGCCAGAAACACGGCTCTGATCGTGCAAAGCGACGGAAAGGATATATTCGAACAGCGTCGGACGTGCTGTATAATTACATATTTTAATCGAAAGTCTATAGTTTTATTAAATAGCTCGGACATATATTTTGCGTGATAATGGAGAATTTATGACAAAGCTTTAGTTTCCCCCCCCCACCCCCCCCCCACCCCTCACCCCCCCAAAAAAAATACATATAATATATTATTTGTACACTGTTATTTACTTGTGTGTGTATTATCGTGCCAATTGCTGGCTGACCGTGTGTATGTACCCGTTTGTCTGTATACCGTGTGTGTACGCGCCCGTTTCTCAAGTACACCGCGTCTCTGATGTAATGAATCGCTGGCGTTTTGCTCGTTGTCATTTCGAACGCGGCTCAGAAATCCCTCGAGCGTTCCCGTCGGCCGTCGGCGGAGGAATCGTGAGAGGGGCAAATGTCGGAATCGATTCCGGGCCTCGGCGGAGACCTCGGGGGATCTCGTTGCGTTTTTCACGCGGCGCCCCGTCGCGTCTTCGAGACCGTCTCGAAGCGCTTGGCAGGAGGCGCCCGTCAGGCGAATTGACCGTCACAAACGGCCGTGGGTTGAGTGACCGAACGAAACAACGTCCCGATGCAGTCTGCGTTTCACAGTCACCCGCGTGGGGGAAATGTTTTCGGATTTCGGAAAGACTCTACGCGCCCGCGCGCTCGCGCCCGCGCGCTCGCACCCACGCGCTCCAACCTGCCACGCGGTGACTGCTTGTCCTACTGTTTCTATGTGCGACGGGGGGTCTCCGCGAGTCGGGTCTGACCGACTCCCACGTGGCTTTCCGGCGCAGAAAAGATTTTGGGGACGTTTAAACCGCCGTCACCTTCTATTGCACAAGAAGGAATGCAAGCCGACCGGTTAACAAGGCGCACGAGTTATCAGCCGCGGAATTTAAAACCGGTCGGTCTAGTAACGACCCATTGGATCCGCGCAGTTAGCGATTTCCTCCTGAGATGCTGCGAAATACAAATTGGCCGATTCTCCTGAGAGAGGTGTTCAGTGGGAAGACCTTTCACTACATACCCCGTCCTCCTTCCTGAAAACACTCGGCTTCGGGACGGGTCTCAAATGCGCTCCGCGGAGAAGTGGCGTAGCGGCGGATTGCGCAGCCTGAGGGCGGAACGCCAGAGCCAAGAGCGCACGGCGGCGTTCCCCGCAAACAGTGGTGGATTGAAGTGACCGACGTGTCTTTTCTTAAGGAATTATTACTCCCGGAAAAGCGAACCGACAGTCGAACAACAACCTACTTCGCTGCTAAGTAAACAGAGGCGTGTGTGTGCGTGTGTGTGGAGTAAGGAAACTTGCCCAACTTGCCCAACTTGCCCAACTTGCCCAACTTGGCCTCGCCTCCTCCCTTTCCTCCTTCAAGGCCGGTCTCAAGACCTTTCTCTTCGACCGCGCCTTCGGCTCCCCTCCCGACTCTCTCCCCCCTCCTCGCCCCCTCCCTTCCCTCCCCTCACCCTGACCATTTCCCCCCCGCCACACCCCCCAATGCTCGGCTCCCGACCCAACCGTCCAGCGCCTCGGGACGTCCCCCCCCCCCCCGACGTGAAAGGCGCTCTGTGAATGGAATCTTGCCGTCGTCGTCGCTTTCGCCCCGACCCGGCCCGGCCCGGCCGGGAATCGAACCCCGGGGTCTCCCTGCCGGGGAGCGAAGGGGATTGGAAAACGAGCGCGAGGTGTCCTTGAGGAAGGGGTTGGAAAGGTGGGAGTGGATCCAATCTCAAAGCACTTTATTTCATAGTTCAAAAAAAGAACTCCTGGTATTTGACACAGTGCCCGGAGGGACCTCTTGTTGGGCCCCAGAAAAGGAACCATCAATTTTATTTGAAGGCTTTTGGGTTGAAAGCGAAGAGAAGAAAAATTCCCTTTTCTTTCCGGGTAATGCTCAGCGTTTAGTTGAAGGGACAGACGGCACTTTGGCACTTCTGCTCCCGCAGCGCTCCCCCCCCAACCAGGACCCCACACACACTCACTGACACACTCACTGACACACTGACACTCTCACTGACCCACTCACTGACACACTCACTGGCACACTCACTGACACACTCACCACCCCTCACTGACACACTGACACACTCACTGACACACTCACTGACACACTCACCAACACACTCACTGACACACTCACCAACACACTCACTGACACACTCACCAACACACTCACTGACACACTCACTGACACACTCACTGACACTCACTGACACACTCACCATCCCTCACTGGCACACTCACTGACACACTCACTGACACACTCACCACCCCTCACTGACACACTCACTGACACACTCACCATCCCTCACTGGCACACTCACTGACACACTCACTGACACTCACTGACACACTCACCGACACTCACTGACACACTCACTGACACACTCACTGACACACTCACTGACACACTCACCATCCCTCACTGACACACTCACTGACACACTCACTGGCACACTCACTGACACACTCACTGACACACTCACTGGCACACTCACTGACACACTCACTGACACACTCACCATCCCTCACTGACACACTCACTGACAGTGTCACTATCTCTCACTGACACACTCACTATCACTCACTGACACACTCACTATCTCTCACTATCACTCACTGACACACTCACTATCTCTCACTGACACACTCACTGACACACTCACTATCTCTCACTATCACTCACTGACACACTCACTCCAGACTCCTCCCCCATTGGCTGCAACGGTAACATTCACTGTATCCATTGCCCTGAGCTGATTGGCCACCTCCCGGGGGGGGCGGGGCGGAGCTCACGGGCTCGTCCAATAGCAGCCGAGCAGAGCGCCAGCTAACCCGCTGCAGCGGCGCCGATTGGTTGGTTCGGCGGGAGGGCGGGGCGTGACGTCACAAGGGGGAGGCGGACCGCGCGTTTCCATTGGTCAAGGGGCGGGGCGGCGGCCGCTGATTGGCTGAGCCCGAGTGTCGGTCAGTCCGAGCCTTAGGGTTCAACCTCAGCCGCCGCTCCTGATCATTAGCCCCAGACACAGAGAGAGAGACACAGAGAGAGAGAGACACACAGAGAGAGACACACAGTGACACAGAGAGAGAGACACAGAGAGAGACACAGACACAGTGACACAGAGAGAGAGACACAGAGAGAGAGAGAGACACAGAGAGAGACACACAGTGACACAGAGAGAGAGACACAGAGAGAGAGAGAGACACAGAGAGAGACACACAGTGACACAGAGAGAGAGACACAGAAGAGAACACAGAGAGACACAGAAGAGAGAGACACAGAGAAAAAGACACAGAGAGAGAGAAGAACACAGTGACACAGAGAGAGAGACACAGAGGAGAGAGACACAGAGAGAGACACACAGTGACACAGAGAGAGACACAGTGACACAGAGAGAGAGACACAGAGAGAGAGAGACACAGTGACACAGAGAGAGAGACACAGAGAGAGAGAGAGACACAGTGACACAGAGAGAGAGACACAGAGAGAGAGAGAGACACAGAGAGAGACACACAGTGACACAGAGAGAGACACAGTGACACAGAGAGAGAGACACAGAGAGAGAGAGACACACAGTGACACAGAGAGAGAGACACAGTGACACAGAGAGAGAGACACAGAGAGAGAGACACAGTGACACAGAGAGAGAGACACAGAGAGAGAGAGACACACAGTGACACAGAGAGAGAGACATAGAGAGAGACACAGTGACACAGAGAGAGAGACACAGTGACACAGAGAGAGAGACACAGAGAGAGACACAGAGAGACACAGTGACACAGAGAGAGAGACACAGAGAGACACAGTGACACAGAGAGAGAGACACAGAGAGAGACACAGTGACACAGAGAGAGAGACACAGAGAGAGACACAGAGAGACACAGTGACACAGAGAGAGAGACACAGAGAGACACAGTGACACAGAGAGAGAGACACAGAGAGATACACAGTGACACAGAGAGAGAGACACAGAGAGAGACACAGACACAGGGAGAGAGACACAGAGAGAGACACAGTGACACAGAGAGAGAGACACACAGAGAGAGACACAGAGAGACACAGTGACACAGAGAGAGAGAGAGAGACACAGACACACAGTGACACAGAGAGAGAGAGAGACACATAGTGACACAGAGAGAGAGACACAGTGACACAGAGAGAGAGAGAGAGACACAGACACACAGTGACACAGAGAGAGAGAGAGAGACACAGACACACAGCGACACAGAGAGAGAGACACAGACACACAGTGACACAGAGAGAGAGAGAGAGACACAGAGAGAGACACAGACACACAGTGACACAGAGAGAGACACAGACACAGAGAGACACAGACACACAGTGACACAGAGAGAGACACAGACACACAGTGACAGAGAGAGAGAGACACAGAGAGACACAGACACAGAGAGACACAGACACACAGTGACAGAGAGAGAGAGAGAGACACAGACACACAGTGACACAGTGAGAGAGAGAGACACAGAGAGACACAGGGACACAGTGACACAGACACAGACACAGAGAGAAACACAGACGCACAGTGACACAAGAGAGAGAGAGAGAGACACAGAGAGGGACACAGTGACACAGACACACAGTGACACAGACACACAGAGAGACACACACAGAGAGACACAGACACACAGTGACACAAAGAGAGAGACACAGACACACAGTGACACAGAGAGAGACACAGACACACAGTGACACAGAGAGAGACACAGACACACAGTGACACAGAGAGAGACAGACCCACAGTGACACAGACAGAGAGAGAGGCACACACAGAGACACAGACACACACACAGAGACACAGACACACAGAGAGATAGACACACACACAGAGACACAGACACACACACACACAGACACAGAGAAATAGACACAGACACACAGACAGACACATACAGAGACACAGAGAGAGAGAGAGACAGACACACACAGAGACACAGACAGAGAGAGAGGCACACACAGAGACACAGACACACAGAGAGACAGACACACACACAGAGACACAGACACACAGAGACACAGACACACACAGAGACACAGACACACACAGAGAGACAGACACACACACAGAGACACAGACACACACAGAGACACAGACAGAGAGAGAGGCACACACAGAGACACAGACACACAGAGAGACAGACACACACACAGAGACACAGACACACACAGAGACACAGACACACACAGAGAGACAGACGGCCGAGAGAGACAGACAGACAGACAGACAGACCGAGTCGATGGAGGGAGTGCTGCACAAATGGACCAACTACTTGAGTGGTGAGAGTCAGTGGATTGAATCCCAACCCCTCTCCCGGGTTCCTCCTCCTCTTCTTCCTCATAACGATCCTCGTCTCCGACCCGGCGCCCCATCGCGTCTTCCGGACGTCTCAAAGCGCTCCGCGGGACACGCTGTAAAGTGTAGTGACTGTGCGACGTTCCCCCGCCCCCACCCACCCCCGCAAACAGCGGTGAAATTGATCATTATTATTATTTTTTTTGGGTGGGGAAGGGATTATTACCCCCGGAAAAGCCATCCGCCGATCGACCGATCGACCTACTGACTGCTGGTAAACAGGCGTGTGCGCGTGTGCGCGCGGACGTGCGTGTGCGCGGACTCCAGAGAGGCGGACTCCGGTTTCCCCGGACGTTCCCGCCGCTGTTTTCTTTCGCACCAGGTCCGGCGACGGGATCCCAGCGACGCTTCGCCCCGGACGCGGGCGACATCCTCGTACCCGAGCAAACAGCACGACATGACTCTCCAGACTTTTCTTCCCGGCCGGAGGTTCCCGGCGAACGAGCGGCGCCTCCGGGTCTCCGGATCGCCCCCCGCGCCCCTCTCCGCGCCCCTCGCCCTCGGCGGCCGCGCTCTCTGCCCCGAAGCTTTGGAGCTCTCTCTCCATCTCTCTCTCTCTCTCTCTCTCTCTCTCTCTCGTCAATCCCTCCGCCTCACCTCTTCCTTCCCTCTTCTTGACCTTCCTCTTCGACCGCGGTCACCTTCCTCCCCCTCCCCCCCCCCCACCCACCACCCCAACAACAACAACAGCTCAGTGTCGGGCTCCGCCACTGTTAATCGCTCCCGGGCACTGCCCAGCGTAACGGGCACTATATATCTACATACATATACACATACACACACGCTCTGCTGTCGTTGTTGTCGTTGTTGTGGTGGTGGCATTTTAACCCGGGCTGTGCCCCCTTTCCCGTTGGCAGGTTGGCAGCCCCGGTACTTCGTGCTCCACGGCACCATCTTCTCGTACTACGACTCGCAAGAGGACGTCGGCAAAGGGAGCAAAGGGAGCATCAAGATGGCCGTGTGCGAGATAAAAGGTGCGGGTGACCCGGAAGGGGCGGACGAACTTGCGCGGGAGAGAGAGCGCGAGAGAGAGAGAGAGAGAGAGAGAGCGGCTGTTGGGAGTCCCCGCGGCTCGGAGGTCAGGTTCGATTCCCGGGTGGGGGGGCGGTGGGGTGGGGGGGGGGGGGGTCAGGACGGGGCGAAACTTTGGGCAATGCTGTGCGCAAATTGGCTGCCGCGTTCCGCCCACAAAATACACTTCACAGCGCACCCCATGAAGCGCTGTGCGACGCCTCGACGACGTGACATCGAATGCGAGGATTATTATTCATATTAATGTTATTATTATTATTAATATTATCATCCCAAAGGCTTTTTCTTCAGATAATTCACGTGCCTTTGGCCATCTCCCTGCCGCCCTCCCTGCCCTGCCCCTCCCTGCCCCTGCCCTCCCTACCCTGCCCTCCCACCCCTGCCCTCCCTACCCCTGCCCTCCCTACCCCTGCCCTCCCACCCCTGCCCTCCCTACCCCTGCCCTCCCTACCCCTGCCCTCCCTACCCCTGCCCTCCCTGCCCTCCCGCCCTCCCTACCCCCCGCCCTCCCTACCCCTGCCCTCCCTGCCCCTGCCCTCCCTGCCCTGCCCTCCCTAGCCCCTGCCCTCCCTACCCCTGCCCTCCCTGCCCCTGCCCTCCCTGCCCCTGCCCTCCCTGCCCTGCCCTCCCTACCCCTGCCCTCCCTACCCCTGCCCTCCCTGCCCCTGCCCTCCCTGCCCCTGCCCTCCCTCCCCTGCCCTCCCTGCCCCTGCCCTCCCTACCACCTGTGGGAAGGTGGGAAAACCTTCCCACACGCCCCCTCTTGAAAGAGAAAGCCGGGATCTTCCTCGTCCTAAGAGGCGACGAAATTAATGACCGCTCGTCTCTGTGGGATGGGACGTTGCGAGGCATTGCGTGGCCGAGCGCTTGGACGAGTTGTCGCGCTCTGGAAAGCCTTGTGTTCCCGGATAATATTAATAATAACATTACTAATAGTCCTTGCCTTTGACCCGGCGCCTTATCGCGTCTCCGAGACGTCTCGAAGCGCTTCCGCAGGAGACCCTGTAAAGTGAATCGACCGTGTATTTCGTGGGCGAAACGCGGCAGACGTTCACCCCCCCCAACCCCACCCCACTCCGCGCCACACACACTTCCTTGTCCCTTCCCGTGCCCTCCGCCCCGCCATCGGCGCCCGCGCTTTCAGCCGCTACGCCCCCCCCCCCAAACCTGTGGGACTCTCTCCCTCAATTCCCTGCGCCCCCCCCCCCCCCCTCCCTTCTCCCCATTTTCAGGTCGCTTTCTCTTCGACCTACCGTGCCTACGGTCACCTCCCCGTCTCCCCCCCCCTGGCTCGGCAATCGCGCTCTGCCGCCGTTAAGCGCTCCGAGACGCCGCCCGGCATGAAGGGCGCTGCGTCAATGCAAGTTGTTGTTGTCGGACCCGCTATGGCTTAGCCTCTAAAGCGTTTGCGAAGCCTCTCTCTCTCTGTCGCGCTCTCTCTCGCTCTCGCTTTGTCCTGCGATACTAACCATTTGTGCTCCGACGTTAGTCCACATGGCGGACAACACCCGGATCGACCTGGTTATCCCGGGGGAGCAGTATTTCTACCTGAAGGCTGTCAACGCTGCGGAGAGGCAGAAGTGGTTGGTGGCGCTGGGCAGCGCCAAGGCCTGCCTGGCAGACGTCAGGACCAAAAAGGAGAGAGGTAATAAGTCCTCCCTGCTTTCATCTCCCGAAGTTGCCGGTCGCAAGCGTCGGCAGAGGCGGCTCGTTTTGCGCCGCAGTGAGCGCGCGGAGGTAGACGTTGCGGAGGTAACTAACGGTGTTACGGGGCAAATCCTCATTTTAGAATAGTAATAATAATAACAGTAATATTAATAGCCCTTGCATTTGACACACCTTATCACGTCTCGAAGCGCTTCGCCGGTTATACCGCAAAGCGAATTGACTGCAGTGTTTTGTGGGCGAAACGCGGCAACCAATTGCGCACAGCAGCGTTCCCCCCACAAACAGCCGTGGATCGAGGGACCCAATTATTATTATTGCTTATTTATTTTGAAGGGATTATTACCCCCAGAAAAAGCCAATCGACTAACAACCGGGTGCCTACTTACTGCCGGGTAACCAGAGGCGCGCACGCGCGTGTGGCGTGTGTGTGCGTGTGCGTGTGCGTGCGTGTGTGTGGAGTAAGGAAACTTGCCCAACATTTCACCCTGACCCGGGAATCGAACCCAGGTCCTCTCGCTTGCGAGGCGAGAGGGCTCTAACCACCGAGCTACAGGTCCGTACTATGAGTACCATGAACATAGTAGGGCTGGAACCCACAAGCTTCTGACCCAGGAGGAAGGAGATACCAACAGAGTCAAAGCTAACGTCTCAGGTATCCCGACCTGCGACTGAAATATCACATCGTAATTTCTTTCCAGTGCAAATAGGATGGAGTATTGGGTGTAAATAGGACGGTTTTGGGACTGAATAGAGCTGAGCCGAACCATAATGGACGTGATCCCCAGTAAACTATAACTGGAGCACAGCAGCGTCCCCCCCGCACTCTCTCTCTCTCTCTCTCTCTGGAGGGACGACCCCCCCTCCCCCACCATCCCCCCACCGCTTACCTAATTCCGGAGAGTATTAGGCGCAGGTTGGCAAGAGCCAAGCCTTGTGTGTGTGGGGGTGAGCCCAGAGTGTGCGTCGGGGGTAACTGCTGGAGTGTAACCAGTAAAGTCGCACTGATACCGTTGAGAACCAGTACTGTGCACCGATGCACCTTTTAATCAGCAAATGTGATTTAGTTGTACAGCACAGAAGGAAAACCATTTGCCGATCGCCTTTCCAAGAGCTCTTTGTCCAGTTCCACTTCCTCTCCCTTTCTCCTGTAGCCCTTTTGTATTTTTCTTTCTTAAACGTCAGCCCTATTAATATTTGCGTTCGGACGGGACTTTGAACTCATGGCGTTGGCTGATACCTTGCGGTGCTGGGAGCGAATGAGATACAGTGCAGGTGCAGTCCTTTGGATGAGACGTTTTCCTTTTCTGTAGGGCCTTAAACGCCTGAGGGGTCCCTGTGGCTCAGCGGTTAGAGCCCTCTCGCCTCGCGAGCGAGAGGACCCGGGTTCGATTCCCGGGCAGGAGCGAAACATTGGGCAAGTTTCCTTACTCCACACACACACACACACACACGCGCGCCCACGCACACGCGCCCACGCACACGCGCACGCACACGCCTCTGTTTATTTACCCAGCAAGTAAGTTGTTAGTCGATCGGCAGATCGCTTTTCCAGGGGGTAATAATCCCTTCAAAAAGATGAATAAATAACGATAATGCGGTCACTCAATCCGCGACTTGTTTGCGGGGGACGCCGCTGGGCTCAACCGGCTGCCGCGTTTCGCCCACAAAATCCCGCGAAGCGCCTTTGAGACGTCTCGGAAGACGCGATGAGGCGCCGGATCAAACGCGAGGAGCATTACTGCTATCGCTATCGTTATATACATCGTCACAGCGCCTTTGGGACGTCCTCCCGACGTGAAAGGCGCTCTGTGAATGGAATCTTGTTGTTGTTGTTGTTGTATATCTTGACCTCTGTGTTCGTCCGTCATTCTGAAATCTGCAGATATCAGCGAGAACGACGATTGCTTGAAATCCAAAATGTCTGAGCTGCGGCTGTATTGTGACTTGCTGATGCAGCAGGTACATAAGATCCAGGAGTCCGCACACCCCATGGAGTGTGGTTCCACTCCCGACGTTGAGGTAGCGTAAACCTCATTGCTTCGGTGGCCACGCACCTTTGAGTTCAGCTCAGTGGTCAGAGCCCTCGCACCCCGCAAGCGAGGGAGGACCCGGGTTCGATTCCCGGGCGGGTCGGGTCGGGTCGGGTCAGGTCGGGGCGAAACGTTGGGCAAGTTTCCTTACTCCACACGCCTCTTGTTTACTCAGCAGTGTGTAGGAACCCGGTTGTTAGTTGATCGGCGGATCGCTTCTCTGGGGGTAATAATACCGCCAACGCAAGGTTATTAAAAAAAAATAATAATTTGCTCACTCAATCCACGACTGTTTGTGGGACGCTGCTGTGCGCAATTGCCTTCCGCGCTTCCCCCGCAAAACACACAGCCACTACACCATAAGACCATAAGACGTAGGAGCAGGAGGAGGCCATTCGGCCCCTCGAGCCTGTGCCCCGCCATTTAATAAGATCATGGCTGATCTTCTAACCTATTTCCATTTACCCGCCCTCTCCCCATATCCCTTAATCCCTCTACCCTTCAGAAATCTATCAACCTCAGTCTGGAATATGTTCAAGGACTGACTGAGCATCCGCAGCCTTCTGGGGTAGAGAATTCCACAAATTCACTACCCTCTGAGTCAAGAAATGTTTCCTCAACTCAGTTCGAAAAGGCTGAGCCTTAATCTTGAGACGACGACCCCCTCGTTTTAGATTCTCCAACCAAGAGAAACAGTCTCACGGCATCTACCCTCTCTCTATACGCCTTACAGTGTGTCCCGTGAAGCGCTTTGAGACGTCTCGAAGACGCGATGAGGCGCCGAATCAAACGCGAGGGTCATTAACCCTCCGAGCGGGTCATCTGTGCGCCGCGGGGGGAGAAGTTCGGGAGGATTTTAACGGTGAACGTTTTCTCCGCGGAACGCAAACGCCGAGTTTCTTTTTTGGTTTAAAAAGATCCAAACTAAGCCGTAGGTCTTCGCTTGCAGAAAATGAACGAAGCGTCCTCGTTGCTTAAAGCCACGTGCAATACCTTCATAAACACCCTGGAGGACTGTATGAAGATAGCAAGTGTCAAGATCGCCCCAGAGCTTCTCACACCCCCGGAATCCACGGTTGTCCATGTTACCTCCACGCCGCTTCGCAGGGTTGGTGAATTTCCTATCACGTCTATCCTCCACCACCTATTATTGAGGCCTGTGGCTCAGTGGTTAGAGCGAGAGGGACCCGGGTTCGATTCCCGGGGGGTGGGACGGGCACGGTCAGGTCGGGTCAGGGCGAAACCTTGGGCAAGTTTCCTTACTCCACACGCACACGCGCACACACACACACACACACACGCGTGCCTCTGTTTACCCAGCAGTGTGCCCGGGAACCCGGTTGTTAGTCGATTGGTGGATCGCTTTCCAGGGGGTTAATAATCCCTTCAAAAAAAAATAATAATAATAATAATTTGGTCACTTCAATCCGCGGCTGTTTTCTGGGAGGACTCCGCTGTGCGCAGTTGGCCGCCGCCTTTCGCCCCACAAAATCCACAAGTCGCTACACTTCGCGGTGGGTCCTGCGAAGCGCTTTCTGAGACGTCTCGAAGGCGTGGTAAGGCGGCTGTGTCCATTGCGAGGATTATTATTATTAGCGTTATTATTACTATCGCATCGAGAGTTTGACCCGTGAGCCGCGAGATGTGTACGTTCTTCAGTTTTCTTCCTCGTTTTAACACTCCAGGTCCGACGTTCCGTGAGTCACACCGGTGTCGCGCCTGACAGGTACGTACCGGGTAAGACCAAGCGTTTTTTGTGGGGGGGGGCACGTTCGGTTGCTTTTCCCCACCCCCCCCCCAACTCCGTTGACCCCTCCCGTGGCAAATTGGGGTGGGGGGGCGGGGGTGGGGTGGGGGTGGGTTCCAGCTACGAATCGAACCCGCGGAGCTTTCCCAGAACAACTCAAGCGAAGTGAAGGGGCGTTTTACACGAGCGGCTGCGCCAAAGGCGACGATTGTGCCGTTGGCTGATTGCAGGAACGCCGAACTGAACCAAGAGCAGAAGGGATCGGTCACGGTCATGAGAAACCTGGAGCAAATGGCCGCGCACAGGGCAACCCGGTGGCTAAGGCAGACGGAGGAAAACGAGAGGGCGGACGCTGTTCGTGAGACGGAGCCGGCGAGTAAGAAACGTGGCTCTGTTTCATCTCTTAACCGAAGTCTGTGAACCATCCGATCGCGCTGATGTAACCCGGTATTGAAGCCGAGCGTGCGCAAGAGCTTGGGTCACCAAACCCCCGACCGTTGGCGCGATCGGCTGCCGCGTTTCGCCCACGAAAAGCCGGACGGAACCTTTCCCCGATTCGAAATGCCGTGGGGGAGTTTAATGTGTATTCCGCCAACGACCGATGCGGTCAATTCGCTTCACAGTCCCTCCCGTGAAGCGCTTTGAGACGTCGCGAAGACCCGATAAGGCTCTCGCGTCGAAAACGCAAGGGTTGGTGCTCCTTCTAATCTGATTTTTATCATTTGCAGATCCAACGCAGAATGCCCAGAAGGTTAAAGACTAGACTTTGTGGCCAGCGTCGACTGGGAATTGCGGAGGAAATTGCCCTCAACTCCCAGAGAGAAATTGGGTCAGGAGAAGCCAATCGAATGTGATTTTTTTTACACACACACACATATATATATATATACGTTGAGGAAGATGCTGACGACACAAAGGCAACCCATTCTTTGCTGCCATCAGGAACATAACCAGAATTGGGTCCCTTTGCACAATCAAATTCCAGGGGGAAATTCAGGATGACAGAGACGGGATGAGATCTCGGCAACTCGTTCATCTTGGAACCCGTACGAGGTCTCCACTGACCCGCTCGCGGTCAGTAACGAACCGCACCGGAGTTCCTTGTGTTTTACAAGACGCCCAATTTCTAACTGAATTTCCCTTTTCAGATATTACACTCCATTTTTGGGCGTCCACTTTACGTGGGGTGGGGGGGTGGTGGGGGGAACGGTAGCCCGGGCTAATTGATTGTTTCTCTCCATCCTGATATAAAGAAAACTGCCATTTCTGCTAAACCCCTCTCTCCCGCCCCCCATCCCCCCACTCCCCCTCACACACACTCCCCAAAGAAATAAGCTTTCTCTTCTGCTAAGGAGAAAGTGGATTGTTTGGAGCGCTCGCCTCGCAAGCGAGAGGACCCGGGTTCGATTCCCAGGCGGGTCAGGGCGAAACTTAAGGCAAATTTCCTCACTCCACACACACACACACACTCCATACACACGCACACGCCTGTGTTTACCAGCTGTAAGTAGGAACCCGGTTGTTAGTCGATCGACGGATCGCTTTTCCCGGGGCTAATAATCCCTCCAAAAATAATATAATAATTTAGTCGCTCAATCCACACGCGATTGGCTGCTGCTTTTCGTCCCCAAAATATACAGTTAGTTTGTTTTACGATACATCCTGTGAAGCACTTTGAAACGTCTCCACAACGTGATAAGGCGCTGTATCAAATGCAAGGATTATTATTATTATTAAAAGTGCTACCGACCTGATTCGGAAAAGACTGCCCATTCCGAGAGTAAAGCCTCAAACTAACTCTGTGTTCAAAGCGAAATAGGACTAAACAGTAATACAAAGGAGTCTTATTAGGTGTCCATCTGGTATCATAACAGTTTGGTGAGCGCTTTACTTGATTATTTGAATCCCTTTACGTTGCGGTAGGGAAATGTTATCCATCTTGAAAGGGGGCAGGTGGAACACTTCCAAACACCTCGCGAGTAGAGTAAAGTTTGTGGCGCGTTGGAAAGGGATTCGTTCGTTTAACCATTTTGATGGTGTAGGGCTCAAATTCGAAAACACAAGTGCAAAACACTTCGTGAAAATGATCCTTGTCCAAACTGTGCAGCGTTCATAGAAAGTCACCCCAAAAATATACAATCAATTCACTTTACAGTATTATATATCCTGTGAAGCGCTTTTGAGACGTCTCGAAGATGTGATAAGGCGCTTCATCAATTGCAAGGATTATTATTATTATTATTATTAAACTGTTGCATCGACATATTTTGTGAGTTTAGTGGGAATACCGTATTTCCTTTTGAGTCTGAAAACACTCCCTCCACTCCTTGCGCTGTTTGTCCATGTTATGGGAGAGTCAAACGAGGAGTTGAGGCAAGAGTTGGCGACGTGCCTTATTTGTGGAAATAACTTGAGCGCTTCAATCCCCGACTGTTTGCGGGGGAACGCTGCTGTGCGCAATTGGCTGCCGGGTTTCGCACACAAATATACAGTCACTTCACTTCACAGTATAGTCTGTGAAGCGCGTTGAGACGTCTCGATGTGATAAGGCGCTATATCAAATGCAATAGATATTATTATAATGTGTGTATATATATATATATTTGTATCCCATTATGTCAAATGTGTTACGCTTCATTTTTGCCTGAAGTGCTTTTTTTTAATAGAAACGGAAGTCGCTGGAAACACTCAGCAGGTCAGGCAGCATCTATGGAGAGAGGAAAATTAGTTAATGTTTCAGGTGAATGACCTTTCATCAGAACTTGTGTTTTTTAATGTTGGGGTTACGGTAATTTTTTAATTTGTTTCTCTGTCTTAACTGACCATTTCTTGGAATATTTTACTATATATATATATATGTATAAAAAAAGTTTCTATTTTCGCCTTTGGGCTTGAAAAGAAGAAAATGGAAAAGTTTCATTTAAAAAACTACAATGTTTTTAGAAAGTAAGGGAAAGAAAAGTAGTCAGAATAGCAATTTTTTTTTCCAATTTGGCTGTTCTGGTCTATTACAATGTGAAGTAAAACAAATTATAATTACCGTGGCCTTTCTGCACTATGTCTATTTTATTCTTAAATGAGTCCCAATTTCCCCCAAGAAAATGTTTTGATATTTTTTCATCAGCAAGGAAAATAAATACATCGATTCGAAGAATATACCTCAGCTTTTCCTGTGTAAAAAAAAATGCTATTTTGTAAAACCTTCATATATCCCCATTTACTTTTGTACGAGGGCTGTAAATGTCACAGATAAATAAAGAGTGGTTGTCGTTTGGTCAAAATCTTTTGCGCAGTTTGTAGTCGAAGTCCGATGAAAACAATGGTTTGTGATGTTTGGCTACGGAGAAGCCACTGTCATTTGGGTCTCGAACTAACTCATTAAAAGTTGAAACGCTCCATGACCACCATCGACGGTCAGGCCTTCACCCTCTCCGCCCCCACCCTCTGGCACCCCGTCCCACAGTCCTTCCGCCTCGCTCCCTCCCTCACCTTCAAGGCCCGCCTCAAGACCCTCCTCTTCGACCGCGCCTTTGGTCACCCTCCTACCCCCACCCCAGCCTTGCCCTGCCCTCCATTCCACCTGATCCCAACGCCCATGCCCCTCCCTCCCCTGGCTCGGGTCTACTGTCCAGCGCCTTGGGACGTACACTGGACGTATGGAGTCCTGTAGGTCAGTGGTTAGAGCCCTCTTGCCTCGCAAGCGAGAGGACCCGGGTTCGATTCCCGGGCGGGTCAGAACACGCAGTCACTACACTTGACTTGACATGTCCCGCGGAGCGCTTTGAGACGTCTCGAAGACCGTGATAAGGCGCCGGGACAAATGCCAGGGATTATTATTGTTATCATCATCATCATCCTCCTCCTCATCCTCATCCCATCAATTGGAATGAACATGGACTTGGGTACCAGCGTGCGCAGTCGTCTACTGCGCAGCTGCGGCGGAGGAGCTTGGTGACGAAGCGGTTAATACGCCGAGTCGCGGAGGAGGAGGCGGGGAAACCGCCGAATCGGGCGGTATTGGGCTGGTTGGGCGGCATTAAGAACCCGCCTCCACCCCCCCCAACCCAGTTGGGCTGGTTGGGGGAGGAGGGCGGGGCATCGGAGAAGCCGCCCTCTCCTGATTGGGCGGGCTGGTAGGTGATGGGCGGGGCATTGGAGAACCTCCCTCTCCTGATTGGGCGGGCTGGTAGGTGGTGGGCGGGGAATTGAAGAACCCCCTCTCCTGATTGGGCGGGCCGGTAGGTGGTGGGCGGGGTATTGGAGAACCCCCTCTCCTGATTGGGCAGACTGGTGAGTGGTGGGCGGGGTATTGAAGAACCCCCCTCTCCTGATTGGAAGGGCTGGTAGGTGGGTGGGTGCGCGGGGGAGGCGGGACATTGTAGGACCCGCCCCCCGATTGGGCCGTTGGGCGCGTGGCTCCGCCGGAAGTGAAGGGCTGTCCGTCCGGCCGTCCTGGCGAGCGGGAAGGCGGCAGAGAGAGCGAGAGGGGCGTCAGGGAGGGGGTGAAGGGGGGATTTTTTTTTGTTTGTTTGTTCTTTATTCCCCCCCCACCGCCACCCTCCAACCTCCCCAACCCTTTTCCCTCTCCTCTCCGGCCTTTTTCTTTCGGTCGCGTAAGGGTTCGGGAGGGAGACAGTGAGGGAAGGAGGGGGCGGGTGGTGGGGGGGAGGGTCGACCGACCGATCGACCGACCGACCGGCGCCGATGTCGGAGCCGGTTGTGAGGTGAGGGAGTCGTTTACCTCAGGAGGAGGAGGAGGAGGAGAGAAAGACCGGGCGCCCCCACCTCCTCTCTCTCTCTCCCTCCCTCCCTCTCTCCCCCCCCCCCGCCCGCTGGTAGGGGCGTCTGGGATGACGGAGGATCGGGCCGCTGCTGCAGCCAAGAAGAACCCCAGCTGTCCCAGGTGAGACCCCCGCCCCCCCCCCCTCCCCCTGAACCCTCCCCCTGAACCCCCCCCACCCTCCCCTGAACCCCCACCCTCCCCCTGAACCCCCCCCACCCTCCCCCTGAACCCCCCCCCTCCCCTGAACCCCCCCACCCTCTCCCTGAACCCCCACCCTCCCCCTGAACCCCCCCCCCCACCCTCCCCCTGAACCCCCCTCCCCCTGAACCCCCCCTCCCCCTGAACCCCACCCTCCCCTGAACACCCCCCCGACCAATCCATCCACCCCCCCCCCTGAACCCCCGACCACCCCCCCACAATACACCCACCCTCTGGCTCTCCTCCACCACCCCACACCCTTCCGAACCCCCTTTCTCGCATCCACCCATCCCACCTGAACCCCCTCCCCCCACCCCTTGCTTAACCACTCCCACCACACCACTCCCTCCCCCCCACCCCGAAGCCCTTCCCCCACACTCCACCCCACCCCCACAATGCACCCACACTCTCGCTCTCCTCCACACCCCCCACCCCCCCTCAGGTGGGGATAGCGTTCCCGGAGAGCTTGACGGTGGCGGAGTCTGACCCCGAGCCGGGGGGAGGGGGGAAGTGACCGGAGCCCGATCAACAAGGAAGGTCTTTAGGTGGGACTTGAAGGTGGGGAGGGAGAGGGGGGGGCCGAGGCGGAGGGCATCGAGGGAGAGAGAGTTCCAGAGTTTCGGGGCGCAGTGGCTGAAGGCCGACGGAGGAGCAGAGGGGACGAGCGGAGGCAGCGGGCGGGGGAGTCGGGAGGTGGTGGGGGAGGGGGGGGGCGGGTAGGCGGGTCGGAGCGGTGGGGAGGCGCGAGGGCACGAAGGGGTTTGAGAGCGAGTGAGGGGATCTCGAAGTCGATCCGTTCGGTGATCGGGAGCCGGCGAAGGGCTGGCGTGAAGGGGTCTGGAACTCTCTCCCTCAATCCCAGCCTCCGCCTTGCCCCCCGCCACCCCCTCCCCCCCCCCCCACTTCCCCTATTTCAGATCACGACCGAAGACTTTCCTCGTCCACCGTGCTTACGGTCACCTCCCCCCCCCCCCCCCCCCACCGTCCCTGCCCGGCGTCGGGCTCTAGCGATGTCAAGAGCTCAGAGACAACACCCCGCTTGAAGGGAGCTACGCAACTGCAAGTTGTCGCCTCTCTCTTTGTCCCCTCTTGACCAGAGGGGGACAGCTTGCCGGGGTTTCGGTACTAAAAGGAGAGCCAGCTGCCTGCTCGCCTCCGAGTGCCCTGGTTACGCGGTGGTTAATACGACTAGAGCACATAAATTTAAGTGTAAAACATACCCAAGTTGGTCTATTGAACAGAACTTAAATGCACCTTGGTGCACTGGGAAAGAGATGGCCGTACGAGACGTTAAACCGAGCTCCCCTTCTGTACACGTTCAGGTGGATGTGAAAGATCCCGTGACACTCTTCGAAAAGAGAAGGGAAGGGAGCTTCTCTTTTCCTGGTGTCCTGGCCGATAGTGGCCTCCAAATAAAATTGGTCGCCGACTTTTATTGCTGTTTGTGGGACATTGCTGTGCACAAATTGTCACTCAGATTTTCTTCGGGAAAAGCCCGAAAAATGTTTTTGCTATTACGCGCCTCTGTGTGTGCACGTGGTTTTATGCGTACTCGTGTCTCTCTTTTTATATAATATTACAAAGAACATTATTCTTTACAATGTGAAAAAGAAGATCGGACACAGCTTATTCTCCATCAAATCCTGTAAGAAAATTGTATTCTTTCCAAATCAGTATTGAGCAAATGCTGGCCTCAAACCCTGGGAAGACACCCATTAGTTTACTGCAGGAGTATGGAACCAGGATTGGAAAGACACCGGTGTATGACTTGCTGAAAGCCGAGGGCCAAGCACACCAACCAAACTTCACTTTCCGAGTGACAGTCGGTGACATAAACTGCACAGGTCTGTTTGCATTTCAACTTTTTTCAGAGTACATCTTCAGTTTGGAATGAACTCTTAAAAATGCAGAAAGCGTATCAAGTTCTCTGCTTTGTTTCGCCCACAATATATACAGTCACTACACTTTACAGTATATCCTGTGAAGTGCTTTTGAGACGTCTCGACTACATGATGAGGCGTTATATCAAATGCAAGGATTATTATTATTCGTTCAATGCTTGTGTTCATTTTAGTTAGAAGTTGTATTTACTGTGTGTCATTCCAGTCAGTACAGCATTTATGTATGAAGAATATAGTCGTGAGGTCAGTGTGCAAAGTGAAGTGCAAAGTATGTCATTAAAAAGACCCCAAGTCAGATCACTACTCGTGGACGCCAGAGAATCGAGCATTGATTTCAGGGAGAAAATCTTCATTTTTTTGGATTGCATCCTTTCTGGGAGAAATAATTTACTTCTGGAGCGGTAATCCCTTTCAAAAGAAAAGTTCTCAGCACAGTCGTTCTATCAGTTATTGACTGAATCTCTGAAGTGTAGCTGATATATAGTCCAAAGTTTGTATTATTGCAGGTTTGCCGTCACAGCTCTGTTTTTACTTTACTTGTGACAAGTATTGCAACCTTTCTCTCCCCCCCCCCCCCCCACCCTGACCATTTTGTCAGATTTGCCAATTATATTTGTCAGATATACAAAATGCCCACAAACTACAGTCACTACACCTTACAACATATGCCATGAAGCACTTTAAGCAGTCTTGAAGACCTGATAAGGCTTTATATCAAATGCAAGGATTATTATTTATATATATTACTATTATCTCCCCATACTGTTAGGTCCTGACACACAGTAACATCACTGGCCAAGTTTGCATGCAAAATGCACTGTTAAAACGTCCGTGTAAAATGATACAAAGGACGCAATTGATATCAAGCACGGGTTAGGAATGATTATTTTGGTAGCTGGGAGCGGACTGTTCACATCTTTCTCAAGGATTCGGTCAATCCCTCATCAGTAACCTTCAGAGTCGGGGTAAAATTGTGTGGCCTTAAAAACCTGGAGTCTTGTCTCCTGCTGAGGATATGTTCCAATCTTGCTTCGTCTTAGTGCCTGATTTGTTCTATTTCCGTTCTCTTGCCTCAGGTCAAGGACCAAGCAAAAAGGCAGCAAAGCATAAGGCTGCAGAAGCTGCCCTGAAATTATTAAAGGGAGGAAACATGTTGGAGCCTATGGGAGATGGAGTTAAGTATGTGAATAACTGCCTTGAAATATTTTCATTATATTTTGCACCGGGTAAAAAAAAAAGGTCTTAACACTCTTCATTTTTTGATTTATATTTAAAAAAATGCTTCTTTCCTTGTATTTAAGCGCTCGACGACGCTGTCCATCTTGAAGGGTGCTATATAAGTGCAAGTTGTTGTTGTTATTTGGAGGCATAACCATCAACAGGTTGGACCAGTGTCAGGAAGCTATTTGTGAACAAGAGGGAATCGGAATCTCACTGTGCAAGCCCTTTCTCCCGTCACAAGGAGCCATAATATCTTCAGACGGATTAAAATGAATCTTGCCAAGTCGCACGCCTTACAATATAATTACTGTCACATCTGTACCCAGTGTTAAACATCCTGACCTTGCTCCTTTTTAATAACTTTTTTTTTGTCAGAAATTGTTGCTTCCTCTGCCCCGCCGTCGCACCAACATTTTTCTCCATGTTTGACTCGACAGTTGAAATGCGATGCTCTTCGGAGTCGATAGGATTTTGGGAGACTTTCACCTGATGTGTTTTTGCTTGTTGGTGGAAAAATTAGGGTTGTTTCATCGCCGTTCAATGCGACAAGTGGAATGACTACTGTTGGAGCCAGAGTTAATCCAGACTTTTTTTCTGCAGTGCATAGCAGCAAAAGATATAGGCAATTATGTCCTATAAATATCCTGTCTGCTAATCTTTTGACACATGGGTCTTAATTCCATACAGCAGATCAGCGGGACTGTAAAAGATTAGCGTGCCAAGATCATGCTACTGTTGACCATTCCTTTCCCAGTACACCAAGGTACTTTTAAGTTCTGTTCAATCGACCACGAAGCACGTTTCAGATTTAATGAAGGAGTCTTGATCTGGAAATTCTAATCCTTAATTTCTTTTCCAATTCTGCATTCCTCATGATCAAAAATTGTTTCTTTTCAGGATCTCTGCGACTGAATCCAAAAGCTCAAACTCTGCCCAGCAGGCCGAATGTAACCCTGTAGGAGCACTGCAGGTATTTAAGCGCTCTGAGATGCTATCCTACATGAAGTTGTTATTTATAGAGTCTGGCGAAGGTAAAACATTTTGATAAAAACTCTTTTATTCTCTTACCCCACTCCCCTCTCCCCGTGGCTCTGGGTGGGTAGGTGCACAACAGTGTGATGGAGATGGGAGATGGAGTTAAGTATGTGAATAACTATCTTTAAATATTTTCATTATATTTTGTACAGGAAAAAAAAAAGGTCTTAACACTTAATTTTTTGATTTTAAAAAAAAAGCTTATTATGTGAAATGCTCGGGCACTATCAGGAGTGTTCCACTTAGTGTGTTCTCTTTCTCTCCAGGAGCTGGTCGTTCAGAAGGGATGGCGGCTGCCAGAGTATACAGTGACTCAGGAATCTGGTCCTGCCCATAGGAAGGAGTTCACCATGACTTGCAGAGTAGAAAGATTCCTGGAGATAGGTACAGACAGACTTTCAGCCGTTCCCCAATTAATGCAATCTATGCGTATCTGTCACTGCTGTGCTGCTTTATAAATAGTGAACACAGTAGAACACACTTTAGACCAAGCCCTCTGTGAGGAGGCGTGCGTGCGTGAGGGGTGCACATAAATGCACATTTGTTGTTAGCCCGGCGGATTGGTTTTGTCCGGCCGTTTCCGTCTTTACTGCTTTACCTCTCGGCTACGCCTCTCTTCTGGTCAGTCTCCGTGATGCAGCGCGCAGAGTGACAGGAAGAGCCGGGGAGCAGGAGGTATTTGGGAAATAGAGAAATAGAAAACTGTAAGTGGGTTGTGGATTATTTGTTTATTGAAAGTAATGGAAAACCTTCAATGCCTTGCTTGTTTGCCCACAAAACACACAGTCACTACCCTTTGCAGTGTATTCTATGAGGCGCTTTGAGACGTCTCAAAGACATGAAAGGGAGCTATATCAAATGGGGTATCTGATCGTGTGTGTTAGATTTTTACAATTTTTGGGTGTGAATGAATTACTACTTCATTTTTCCTGCCGGTTTGCCCATTGCAGGAAGCGGGACTTCAAAGAAGCTGGCAAAACGGAACGCTGCAGCGAAGATGTTGGCAAGGATCCACGATGTACCAGTGGATCACAGGGACGGGAACGAAGTCGAGCCCGAAGATGACCAGTTCTCCATCGTAAGTCGCCAAAAACCGAACGAAACTTGAGAAGAGCTGGACAGATTTGTTGAGAAGGTCGCCAGTGTTAATAATCATAGAATCATACAGCACAAAAGGAGGCCATTCGACCTATCATCTCATGCGGCTCTTTGAAATAACTGTCCCCTACTCTCCCCATAGCCTTGCAAATTTGTCCTCCCCAAATATCTAGCCACTTTTCTCTTGAAAGTTGTTATCGAATCTGCTTCCATCACCCTGTCAGGCAGTGCATTCCAGATCCGAACAACAGCATTATTATAGTAATAATCCTTGCATTTGATATAGCACCTTATCACGTCTTCAAGATGCTTCCAAGCGTTTCACAGAATATACTGTATAAAGTGGATTGACTATATTTTGTGGGCGAAACGTGGCAGGCAATTGCGCACAGCAGTGTCCCACAAACTGTTTTTTCCCTGTTAAAATGTCAAAATGTCGTCTTCCCTCCAGTTGATAGGCAGCAAACTAGACGGCCCAAGGGGCAAGAACACGTGTTGTACATGGGACTCGCTCCGAAACTCGGCCGGAGAAAGGATTCTGCATCTCAAGAGCCATCCGCTCAGTGTCATCAACTCAAACTTCTGCCAAATGCTGAGGGACTTGGCTGAAGAGCAGCAGTTTGACATCAGTTATTTGGACATCGGTAAGCAAGCTGTTTTTCAAAAAAAAGAGAAATCTATTTTGAATGGGATTTGTTTGGCAGTTTTCCTTGTACTTGAGCAGCTAAATTCACTGTTTAAGCAAGTCCTCTGGGTGTTGCTTTCTGCTGCAGTAATGATGTCCAGACTGTCCACAAAGACCCAGCAGCTGAACCATGTGGAAGATTAGTGATAATTGTATTTAGAAGTACTTCATTGTATTCCGTACAAGTATTTAACTGTATTTGGATGTCCAGAGGATCAGTGTGCGTGAGTGAGTGCCATCATTTTCATGGCAGATAACGATATGTGGGCTTTGCTTGGTGCTACATGTTCCGTAACGGGGATGGAGTGACGAGAGGTTTCTTCAGGCAATAGTAAACTGTTTGTGAGGAATTTTCTGGGGGTAATAATCCCTTCAAAAATAATAATAGTCATTTTGTCACTCAATCCACACCTGTTTTGGAACACTGTTGTGCGCAATTGGCTGCCTGCGTTTCACTGTCAATTCATTTTCCAATATTCTGTGAGGCGCTTTGAGACGTCTCAACGATGTGATAAGGCGCTGTATCAAATGCAAGGATGATGATTATTATTGTAAGTTTAGATGACGTGATTTATCTTGGCTCGTCCATCGTCGCAGCAGTATTTTATCGGCTCATCTTATTTTATCTTTCAGAGGAGCTGAGCTTGAGTGGCCTGTATCAATGTTTAGTGGAGTTGTCAACTCAGCCGAGCACCGTCTGCCATGGCTCGGCCTCCACCAGAGACGCAGCTCACGCCAACGCAGCTCACAACGCACTCCAGTATCTCAAGATAATGGCTGGCGGAAAATGATCCCAAAGGACAGAGCTACCAAGCATTCTTGACTGACCAGCACTGTTTATTCCAAAATGAACTGCGTTTTTAAACCAACAACTTGAATGAACTTCACACAAGACTTACACTTGACGGAAAGTCAAGGTCTCTAGCTGCTCAGTATGCTTTGAAGGTGCCTTTTTAGTTATTTTGGGGGAAGGGGAGGGGGCGTGGGGCGGGGTAGTATGATGGTTTATTTAAGGATCCCTCCCGCTGCTAAACATAGCAAATGGACTGATGTATGTAAATGGTGGCTCGTTTCATTGCAAAGCGCCCGTGGTCCAAATCAGCCACGCAACAGCAAAAGGAATTTCACCCACATGTGGTTTTTAAAACTTGTTGGCTAACCCATATCTTTCGCTGGATGGCGAACTTGACATTGATCCTGAGATTCTTTCCCTGGAGAGAATTGAGCATTGTACTGTTTTGTTTTAAGCCCTATCTCCGAAGTGGGGAATGCTGCAGCGGAGATCAAGTGCTAATGGCACAAGCGGTAATTTTCCTTGATCCTCGGAAAACGTAAATCACAGAGTCTGAGCCATCGTTCTATGGTGTATGACTGCTTATCCAAGGGAACACGGAGCTTCCTCTGTGTATTTGATGTGTAGGATTTCAACATGAGGGTTGCGAGTTGATGTGGCGCAAGTAGCGGTGGACTGGCTCGGGGTTGTGAGGTAAAATAGGAGTACTTGAGGGTACTGATTCTTGTCAGAAAACAACCGTGCGTTTAAAATCTTTGCCGGGGCTTAAATGGACCTTCCCAATTTCCCATATAGCCAGTCCTCCCCTGGGCACATGGGTGGGTGTTTGCCCCTCTTGGTAGAGCTAAGCGCAACTTCCCTTTGAGCAAAGTTCCTGGCCTGGTTGTTCAATCGACAGTGAGGTACTGAGTGAATATTCAACAACCACAACCAATGATGTTTGGTTCACACAGCGCCTTTCACGTCAGGGGGACGTCCAAATGCGCAGGACAGTCAGGGATCCGCACCCGAGCTGGTGGTTGGAATCAGGAAGGGTGGAGGTCGGGGAGGGGTAGGAGAGCGACCAAAGGCACAGTCAAAGGGGTAGGTCTTAAGACGGGTCTTGAAGAAGGGAAGGGGGCGAGGCGGAGGGGCTGGGATGGAGTTCCAGAGGGTAGGGGGCAGAGAGGCTGAGGCCCGCCTACTAATGGTGGGGTGGGCAAGGCGGGGGACACGAATCATCTCTTTTTAGTCTTCCCCCACTCCCCCTACAAAGCAAAGAATCCTAAGCCAGTTTAAAGGGAGCGCTTTGTTCGGTTGCAGAAAACAATTAAGTCGGTCGGTCGCTCAACCTGCCTCGCAACAGGGACGGGTGAGTAGGAAACTTTTTTTTTTAACAAAAAGCGGAAACGGACGTGGGGATAGCTAATGAGGAGTGAGGATTTTTTTAAAATAAATTTCTGCCATGAATTGAACAACTTGGTATTTCAAGCAGGTTACCGATTGTATCAAATAACAATAATGAGCCTTACAGGACCAGAACTGACTTGAGTTATCAGAATAGTCTTGTCTTTTACCCAATTCACTTAACAGTTTGACAGTGTATTTGTCTCCCATAATTGCAAGTCTTGTTTTCAAATGCGCGCTTGATAAAAACCGCTCTATTTACAACTCTTGACTTAAAGAAAACCCATTGCTCTGCGTTTCCCGCCCCTTCCCATCATGGCTTTTTCTATACCTCTTACAGATAGCTTTCCAAAGAAGAATCGCTTCCTTTGGCCTGACCTCTCTCTGCCGTGAACTGCCACACACTATGTTCTCCCAACAGTAAATCAAGTCTTAAGTGAGAGCCCAAAGTAGCAACAGATCGTCCCAAATCCTTGAATGAACCCGTGAACTTGCAGCACGCAGTTAAAATGGAGAGGTCAAAGGAAATATTTTATTTTAAATCAAAATGACTTCACAGTCTAGTTTGTAAGCATTGTTTTTAGTGTTGAATACTGTGTATATAATTTCTTGATTTTACCCTTTGAGTGCAGAAGTACGTCTGCGTTGTGCAGTATTTTTCAAGCCTTTTATTTATGACCCGATGAATTGGAGTGATAAATGGTACAAAGTATCCCCCACTGTGGGGAAAGTGCAGTTTTTTTTAAAAATAATAATAATGTAAATGATCAATTTCTTAAAGGTCTTCTGGAAATGTGCTTCAGTGCTTTGTTCTATAGAGTAGTGGTTCGTTTAGAGGCTGGCTGAAGGTAATAAATAGCATGAAATGGGCATCACGGCTATGTGTCTGCTCATTAGAAGGGAAAGCAGGAGGTGTGACTGATCTTTCTAATTTGCGAGTGTGTTTATTGCAGATGGCGATGACACAACAACATAAACCATTCCCCCAACATGGTGCACCAGCCCTCAAACTGGGCTGGCAGATCAGGGGAAAGCTAAATCTTTCCGCAGAAACAAACCACAAAAACTCGCGCTCCACTTTGTTTTGACGAGTTGCAGCACTGATAGTTTCAGATAGTTTCGCCTACGAAACGTACAGTCCGTTCACTTTACAGTATAGTCCGTGAAGCGCTTTGAGAAGTCTCGAAGACGTACCAAATGCAAGGTTTATTGTTGTTATAGATCCTTCCAAACTGCTGTAAGAAATTCGTGCTGCAAATGAAGCTGGTACTTGCCGGCCAGGCGATTTGCTTGCAGAGGAAAAGGTGAAAGCGATTTCCTTGAATTAACTTGCAGGACGAATGTATTACTTGGGAGAGCGATCATTTTGCTTTCGGACAAAGTGTGTCACGCGCTGGGACCTTCCGAATAAGTCGAGCAACATGTTTTTAGTAATTTGCGTAGATTTTTTTTTTTTCTTAGTCGCCAAAGGATTTCCGTTTGCAGCGCTCTTGTTTCTGCTCGGGAAGGGTGGAGCCTGGCATTTGATTAAATTTTCCTATTAAATTTGAGCATCGCGGTTTTAAAGTGGGGAGCGATCATTTTTAAGACTGTTCGTTTCCCTTTCTCCTTTGCGTACTCTCTCCACGGTTGTTCACTTGGCTGCTAATTGATAAAAGCGTGTCATGGTCGAGGTCCTCCATGCTTAAAATTCTAAAAGGTTGAATGTTTTATCAAGGTTTATCAAGGTATATTTGTAATGAAATATTGCAGAGCATTGCGAAGGCTGCAAACCTCCCTGACTTTTTTTCCCCTCATTGTTTGGGGGTTTGATTTGAAATTAAGTTTTTACGAAGGTGTATTTATATTAAAATGATCACGTGTAACATGCAGTTGTGAAGATCGGTCTGACGGGTACTCTCCTGGTTGAGTGTAAAGTGCCCTGAACACATTGTCCATTTGTATCTGTTTACTACAATAAAAATAAAATTGAGATTATTAAGGTGTGCAGTATTTTTCAGGGGCGGGGAATACTGTAAATCGTCAATTTTCAATAAGATGTGACAAAATTGAGTGCGTTTTGCATGGTTTCATTAATTAAACAGAAATAGAAAGAAAATAGGTTTTATGAAACGGCTTAGTTGTGAACCAGTAAAGTCCCAAAAACTATCATGAGCTTAAAGGAACAGTTAATCGACCAGGACACTGGAAGAAACTTTTCGGTTTTTAAATTCATGGGATATTTTAATATGTATTTCACCCACAAATTATGCAGTGAATTCACTTTACGGTATATTCTGTGAAATGCTTCGAGACGTCTCAAAGACGTGCAAAGGTTATCAAATTAATCAATGGAATGGTTTAATTCTAGATCATCTGATATTGTACTTTTAGAGGTGATGGCAGCTGTTTTGTGTACTGTAATTTTTGCTTTCAATTAACTTTAAATCTGTTAAGCGTCTTATGCAGTCTCTTGTGTGCAAGGTAAATGGAATCTTTAATTGGCTCCATAAAGTTTTAATTCAGTTTGCTAGGAAGTTGTGAGTGCATTTAGGGGCTTCTTTAGACGATTGCCACAGCATTGATTCCTTTTTAAAGTTCCTCCGGGAGAGGTTGAAGGTAATAAATAGCGCAGTTAATGCATCTCTTTATTCTGTGAAAATGTAGGCTAAATAATCTGTCTGATTCCCAGGAGATCTTTAGACAAAGGTTTCCAATTTGAAAGAGTGAAATTTTGCTCATAACTTCTACCCAACAAGGATTTGATCTGCTCGCGGAGATTAGAAAACATAGTAACGTTTGGCTAACCCTTTACGGGGCTCAAAACATGTTTTGCTGGGGAGAAAAAATTAAATAAAAATAATAATGATTTGTTCATTCACTCCACGACTGTTCGCGGGACACTGCTGTGCGCAATCGGTTGCGCAGTCAATCCACTTTACAGTATATCCTGTGAAGCGCTTTGAGACGTCTCGAAGATGTAATGAGGCGCTATATCAAATGCAAGAGTTATTATTGTATAACAGACTAGCGGAATAGTTACCAGCCAAGGCAACATTGAGTGATTGTTATAAATGAGTAATGAGGTGTGTTTTTGGAGTGAGTAAGATGGACGCAGTGGTGAATTATTGAGCCAAATTTCTCCTTTGTCTGTTCGGAGACATAGCCTCACTCCGATTCCCAAACTTCAAGGATCTGAATTCAGAAAAAGGCTTTGCTCCCTCTGCTCGGGGTCGCTGTCGAAATTTTTTAACGATTGCTAAATTAAGGAGAGGCTTGTGTTTTCGCCCGCGAATCTTTCGCCGTCTTACCTTGCTGCTGGAAATGACGTTAACTTTTCTTTATTGGTCCTGTCGCAGGTTGAGCCGCCGCAGGAAACCTTTGCCCATCAATAATCAGTCAGGCAGATTGTTTGCCTCGGCCTCAGATTTATTAATGCAATAAATAGTGATTTAACAACCACTCCAGAATGAATAATTCAGTCCCGCTCCCGGCTAGGCTGTATCCTTGGACGAACAAGAATGACACTGCTATAAATTCTTACTTTTCTTATCTATCTTGCTTGGTTTGAAAGACTATTCTCGTTTTTCAGTCTCATCCTCAAACTCTTAGGGGGAAAAAAAAACGTAAGCTGCATTGCCCTCTGCGTTATCTTACCAAAAATAATCCTCGAAATCTGCGGAACACTACTTCAGTGGGCGAGTAGCAAACGTATGAGCCGATGGAAACAGAAAATGTTTGTTTCAAGAACACATTGGAAAGATTTCTCTTAGGAAATAATATCTCGGGATACAGTATGTAGTTTGGCTTTGGCTTGCAGGGTTAATAAGAGTGATTTCATCCGCAGACATGGGGTCAACTTCCACATGTACGTGGATGACGCCCAACTCTACCTCCACTCTCGACTCCAGGACCACTGCTGTCCTGACAGAATATCTGTCAGACATCAAGTCCTGGATGAGAGTTAACTTTCTTCAGTTGAACGTCAACAAGTCCGAGGCTCTCCTGATTGTTTCCCGTCAGCGCTTCCTCACCTCAGGCGCTGACAGCAAACCATCCATGGTTGCACACTCCACCTTGCTAAGCCGGTCCGGACCCTCGGGGTCTTGTTTGACCCTCAACTATCCTTTCTACCCCACATCTGCGCCATGACCCGCTCTGCTGCACCAGGCTCCGTGACCCTATCACCCCATCCCCGCCCGACTCCACTGGCTTCCCATCACACAGAGGATACAGTTCAAGATCCTGGTCCTCGCCTTCAAAGCCCTCCTTGGCCTTGTCCCCCCTAACTGTCCAACCTCCTAACCCTCTACCATTCTGTTCGCTCCCTCTGCTCAGTGGGCTCTGGTCTGCTTCACGTGACCCGCGTCGCTCGGCCCACTATTGGCAGTGGACGAACCCAAGTCTCTCACGAGACGAGTGCTGTATCCACTGAACTACAGGTACCCACGGAGTTCAGTATGGAAGTGACATCTTCTTAGACGACCAAGCCTTAACGGAAGCCATAACCACACAGAGAGGCAGGTAGGTGTGCTACTAGCTGAGCCAAGCTGAAACCGCAAGAGATGGGAGTCTTCGTACAAGTTGATGGCAAACTAAAGATTAAATTGTGAGTATTGATGCTGTCATCAACGACTGTGTGTGTGTGTGTGTGTTTTAGTATTGAAGCTATTATTATTTTCAATAAGTCTCTTTGGAGAATCATTTGCTGGGAATGAGATAATTAATAATAATAATAATAATCCTAGCATTTGATGTAGCCCCTTATCACGTAGTTGAGACATCTCAAAGTGCTACAAAGAATACACTGTAAAATGAATTAGCTGTGGGTGAAGCAGTCCCTTTTTCTAAAGGATTGTTATCCCCTGAGCCGAAGGGTTAGATCAGAAGGGGTGGAGGGCAAGAGTGGAAGGGGTAGGAGGTTGACCGAAGGCACGGTCGAAGAGGAGAGTCTTGAGAGGTCAGCCTAGACTACGAGCTGAAAGTCCCCATGTGGGGCTTGAACCCACAACCTCCTGAGGACTGAGCCCAGACCGACACCTCTTTCCGTTTACTGTAATAATAATAATAATAATCCTTGCATTTGATATAGCATCTCAAAGCGCTTATGGTGCTGCAATAAGGCCTCAGGAGTGAAACGGTTACGATACTGTTCTTACTTCCAGAGGAAATCGAGCGACAATTGCGTAAATTTTAAACTTTATTTTAATTCTTAGTGAAGACATACTGTAAATGTGACGAATGAATGAAACGGTTTCGTTGATTTTCTTTTCTCTCAAGAAGAAAGAAGAAAGAAAGAAAGACCTAAAATATTTTTCTTTTAATCGGGACTTCTCGGAAACGCAGCCCCTGCCGGCTATCGGAAGGATGTCGGGCAAACTCGCCTTCGTCAAGTCGGGCAAACTCGCTGCCGCTTCCAGTTCCATTACTTTTTCTTCCCGAATCGCTGCGGAATGGCCATCTTCCAAAACTGCGGTGGAATTGTATCCTGGGTACGCGATTGCATCTGAACATTTGCCCCGTGGTCCGCAGGTATTCGGTTTTCACGGCCAAACCTAAGGGGAAGGGAAAAGGATATTCACTTAATAAATAATAATAATACTTGCATTTGTTACAGCGCCTTATCAAGTCGTCGAGACGTCTCAAAGCGCTTCACGGAATATACTGTAAAGTGTAGTGACGAGTATTTTGTGGGCGAAACGCGGCAGCCAATTGCGCACAGCAGCGTCCCACAAACAGTCGTGGATTGAGTGACTAAATTATGATTTTTTTTTTAAAAGGGATTGTTACCCCCGGAAAGTGATCCGCCATTCGACTAACAGCCGGCTTGCTACTGACTGCAAGGTAAACAGAGTCGTGTGTGTGTGTGTGTGTACGTGTGTGGAGTAAGGAAACTTGTGTAAGGTTCTGCCCCGACCGGGAATCGAACCCGGGTCCTCTCGCTTGCGAGGCGAGTGCTCTAACCTGTACGCTGCAGGACTCCACATATAGCAGGTAACGAGACAAAAAAATAAATGGAGCTGTTAGAAGGAAGCCAAGGTCCAAAAATAAGAGACCATATAAATAATACGACTGTAACTTTCTCCCCAAAACAGTACAACAACAACAAATTATACTCGTATAGTGCCGTTCAGGTTGGAAAGACGTCCCAGGGCGCTGGACAGTCCGGGGTTTTTGGATCGGTTGGGGTCAGGAGGGGTGGAGGGCAGGAGGGGTGGGGGTGGGAGATTGGCCGAAGGCACGGTCGAAGAGGAAAGTCTTTAGGAGAAGGAGGCAAGAGATGGGGGGGTGGTGAGGCGGAGGGATTGCGGGAGAGAGTTCCAGAGCGTGGGGGCAGAGATGCTGAATGCCCCAACCGTCAATGTTGGGGCGGGAAATGCGGGGGACCTGAAGCAGGCCGGTGTCTGTCGAGCGGGGGGAGCGGACAGGCTGATACGGGGGTTAGGAGGTCGGAGAGGTAGTGGGGGAGCAGAGCCGTAGAGGGCTTCGAAGGCGAAGTAGAACTGAAGCGACAGACGACGGGAACCTGGACCAGTTTGCTGAACGCGACTTACCTCTGCGGCTGAAACACAAAGGAGGGGCTCCTTCCAAATCGCTGTGGTGAGTGCATGACGGACCTCATCAGTGAGTCGAGTAGTCGATCATCTGCCAGCCCTCTCACATTTTGTTCCTCCCCGTCCTGTCGACAGGTGAGCGTCAGCATTCACGCAGCAAAGTTGCCACCTAACCTGTACCTTTGCTTCTTTAGTTTAAACGTAAGAGAGTTGCAGGTTGCGCAACGATAGTCCTCGCATTTGATACCGCCTCTTTGCGGCGCCTCAAAGCGCTTCGCGGAACCTACTGTGAAGTGGAGTGACTGTACGTTTTGCGGGAGAAAGGCGGCAGCCAATTGCGCGCAGCAGCGTCCCCACGAACACTCGTGGATTGAGTGACTAAATTATTTTTATTTTATTTTTGGAAGGGTTCATTAACCCCGGAAAAGCGATCGGCCAATCGACTAAACAACCAGGTTCCTACTTACCACTGGGTAACCAGAAGCGTGTGCGTGTGTGGAGTAAGGAAACTTGCCCAACATTTCGCCCTGACCTGACCCGACCGGGAATCGAACCCGGGTTCCTCTCGCTTGCGAGGCGAGAGCGCTCTAACCACCGAGCTACAGGGACTCCACCGTAAATGTAAACGAGAGCGATTCGGTGAAACTTACCACCGCGGACAGAAGTCTTTCCGCGACGCTCTGGGGCAGGTAAAGTGCTTCTGCCGTCCCCTCCTTGGTGCCGGTTGCCCTCCTGGTGCAGCCAGCCGCTAGGAACAAGACAGCGAGGAGAGCCCGGGCGTACATGGGTGCAGACGAGCTGAGCTCAGAGCTGAGACACCGAGAAAAACCGCAGGAGTCTGTCTAACGCCGTTCTGGTACGGCCACCTTTTAAAGCATTCCCGCCCGAATGCTGCTGGGAAACGGTAAGCGATTTAGCAAAGACGTGTTTAATGCCCGAAAGCTCTTTTTTTTTTTTTTTTTTTGCTCTGCGTTTAGGGAAATGACATAAAAGCCAGCCCAAAGGATAGGAAGCGCTGGAAGCTGGCAGTCGTTAAGTGGTCCGAAAATTATTATTAGCGCTTTGGGATTGCTTTCTGGGAGTTTATTGATGCCTATTGTACTTCTGAGTCACACCTGTTTATTGTAATAATAATAATACTACTAAAAAAAGGATTTTTTTTTATCAGATAAATAAGTCCCCGGTTGCAAACACCCAGAGGCTCAGGAAATCAACTGTAATTAATCTGCTGCCACACATAGCCCCTTGTTGCGACAGAACAAAGTAAGTAAAAATATTCGCAAGAACTTTTAGCGTATGTCTTATTCACCTGTGAACGATTTACTGGAAAGCGCCTGCGGTAATGTAACGCAGATATTTCCTGCTCTGAAGGGAAGCAATTCAACCACTTGCATCTGTGCCAGCTCTAGCTGTTTTTTTTTCTTAATTGCTTGTTTTATTCATCCCGATTTATTAATCATTTGCAGTCTGCAAAATGCTCCGTTCGTGGTTCGCTACCCCACCCCTCCCCACACACCCCACCCAACACACACACCCCTCTCCAACACACACACACACACACACACACACGCACTCACTAGTCAGAGCCCAGTAAAAGCACATTTCACTAAAGGATGACTCAATTCACCAAAGGCCGAAAGAACACACATTAATCTTAAGTGCAACTGTCGTAATTAAATGCGTAATATTTGCCGAAACAATTCAATTCACCAGGGCAAGTTCTCTGAATCCATCAAATAACCATCGAAAAGTAAACCTAGATTTATAAACAGTTTAATTCTCGACTTCCAGAGCTCTTTGAGTGGACTTATGGAGTTGTATATTCGCTCGATCGCCATAGAGGTTTGGAAGAAGAGGCCCCGTTGGCCCATTTGATCTCACACTTCGAATAAAATACACAGCTGTTGCTTTCCGGGGGCACACAAAAAAAATTTGGTCACTCAAACCACGACTGTACGTGGGACAATGCTCTCCGCAATTGGCTGCCGCATTGTGCCCACAAAATACAGAGTCAGTCGACTTTACAATATACTCTGTGATGTGCTTTGAGACGTCTGAACGATGTTATATCAAAATGCGAGTATTATTGTTATAATCGGCGACGTTAAATGCATTCAAGGCTTGGATTAACAGTACTCGATTCTGTTTGGAGTGATGGTTTTATTCCCCCAGTACTCACTCTTCCTAAAGGATTGATGAGTAACATAACATAATAAAGGATTGATAGTAATTAATAATTATTAATAGCAATACAACAACCACTTGCATTTATATAGCGCCTTTCGCGCAGGGTAATGTCCCTGAGCGCTTATAACAAAGTCACAACATCAAATACAAGGATTATGATCACTGTTATACAATTATTGTTATTGTTTAATTATAATTTTATTCATATTTTATTGTGATTATGTTATTATGATGATTATTGTATTCAAATTATATTATTCCATTGTTATTTTATTACATTGCTGATATTATATCACTGTTCTATTATTTTATTGTTTTGTTATATCATTATATTGTTATTATTTTATTATATTATTGTATTGTTATTATTTTATTATATCATTGTATTGTTATTGTTTTATTATATTATATTATTATTATTATATTGCAGTACTGGGAGGGGTAGAAATCGAACCCATTCTCATTGCAGACACGACAGGTCACTACTCCCAATCACTGCCTGTGGGGGCGCTGTAGGTTTGTGGGGGGGGAGTGGTTCAGGTGGAGACCATCCTGCCGCTGCTATGGTGCTCCTCTTTGGTTGGCGCCAGGGGGCGGGGCGGTTACCATAGCAACAGAAGACGCTAACAGAAGAGGAGGAAGTGTCCATCTGACTTGAGCTGACGGAGGGTGAGCGACCTGGAGGGGTGGGGGGGGGGGAGAGGAGAGGGAGAGAAGAGGGATAGAGAGAGGGGAGGGATAGAGGGATAGAGAGAGGGGAGGGATAGAGGGATAGAGAGAGGGAGGGATAGAGGGATAGAGAGAGTGGAGGGATAGAGAGAGGAGGAGGGATAGAGAGAGAGAGGAGGGATAGAGAGAGAGGAGGGATAGAGAGAGAAGAGGGATAGAGAGAGGGGAGGGATAGAGAGAGGGGAGGGATAGAGGGATAGAGAGAGAGGAGGGATAGAGGGATAGAGAGAGAGGAGGGATAGAGAGATAGAGAGAGGAGGGATAGAGAGGGGGGAGGGATGGAGGGAGAGGAGGGATAGAGAGAGAGGAGGGATAGAGAGAGAGGAGGGATAGAGAGAGAAGAGGGATAGAGAGAGAAGAGGGATAGAGAGAGGGATAGAGAGAGAAGAGGGGTAGAGGGATAGAGAGAGGGGAGGGCTAGAGAGAGGGATAGAAAGAGAAGAGGGATAGAGGGATAGAGAGAAGGGAGGGATAGAGAGAAGGGAGGGATAGAGAGAAGGGAGGGATAGAGAGAAGGAGGGATAGAGAGAAGGAGGGATAGAGAGAGTAGAGGGATAGAGGGAGTAGAGGGATAGAGAGATCTTTTTGCCGAGGGAGGGGAATGGGTCGGGGGTGGGTGGGGGGGGGGTGAGCGGGTATGGGGGCTGGGGGGCGCGGCGTCAACTTGAAGCTGAACTGGAACAGCGGCATTATCAACGGCCAAACTGTGTGGGTTTAGCTGGTTAGACTCCGAAGCACACTCTGGGGTCGCAGATACCCCCAAAGCGCACTCTGGGGTCGCAGATACCCCCAAAGCACACTCTGGGGTCGCAGATACCCCCAAAGCACACTCTGGGGTCGCAGATACCCCAAAGCGCACTCTGGGGTCGCAGGTACCCTCAAAGCACACTCTGGGGTCGCAGATACCCCCAAAGCGCACTCTGGGGTCGCAGATACCCTCAAAGCACACTCTGGGGTCGCAGATACCCCCAAAGCACACTCTGGGGTCGCAGATACCCCCAAAGCACACTCTGGGGTCCCCACACCTTGGTTCTTGCCAACCTGCGCCCTAATAAATTCTGGATTTCACATTGTAATTCCCTTATTATTACTACTATTACTACTGCTGCTGCTACTCCCATTATTATTATTATTATTATTATTATTGTCATTACTCTTTGGAAGGGGTGGGTCACTGCAATGTCGGCGTTGCGTGGAAATCCTCTCTCTCTCTCTCTCCCCCTCTGTACAGAGTGAGCCACAATGCCGAAGAAGGCGAAGGCACCGAAAATGTCGAAGCTGTCAAGGATGACTGAGGAGGAGAGGCTCCTGTACATGCAGGAGAAACAGCTGGAGGAGGATGAGCTGAAGAAGAGGAAAGAGGACATGTTGGCTCAATTCCTAAAGGTGCGTGTGCACTTTGCTTCAGGCGTCAATTTAGTAATAGTAATAATCATAGTAATAGTAATAATCCCGGCATTTGACACAGCGCCTGATCACGTCTTCGAGACCTCTCAAAGCGCTTCGCAGAATACACTTTACAAAGTGTGGTGACTGCGTATTTTGCGGGCAAAACGCGGCAGCCAACTGCGCACAGCGGCGTCCCCCACACAAACAGTCGTGCGTTGAAGTGACCAATTTTATTATTATTTATTTTGAAGGAATTATTACCCCCGGAAAAGCGATCCGCCAATCGACTGACAACCGGGTTCCTCCTTACCGCTGGGAAACTTGCCCAAAGTTTCACCGTGACCCGCCCGGGAATCGAACCCGGGTCCTCTCGCTTGCAAGGCGAGCGCTCTAACCACTGAGCTGCAGGGCTCCACGTGTTTAGCGCCTTATCACATCTCAAAGCCCTTCACAGAATATACTATAAAGCGCATTAACCGTATATTTGTAGGCGAAACCCGGAGGCCAATTGCGCGCAGCGACGTCCCCGCAAATAGCCGTGATGCTACTTGTGACCAATTAATTATGATTTTAACTTTATTTCAATTTGAAGTTTGGGTTGAGAAGCAACAACAACAACAACAACTTGCCTTTACGTGGCACCCTTCACCCCAAACGGCAGCTCAGAGCGTTTTATTTACTCCCAACGCGAAAGGCACTTAACACGGATGTAAATTTGTCGTCGTCGTTGTAGCCTGGGCTGTGCTCTTCTCCTGCAGGACAAACTGTCCAAGGAGGAGCGCAACACTCACCTGAACATGTGGAAGCTGAACGAGAAGTGGCGTGCTGTGATGCGGAGATCGAAAGCCTCAGAACTGCAGAAAGACATCGCGATCTTGAGCCAGACCTTCGAAAGAGTCGCGGATCGGAAAAACAGCATCATCAGGGTACGAGGAATTGCCTTTTGTCTCGGGAGGAAAAACAGCGACTGAGCATTGATGGAGAAGTAGAAATATTTGTTTTAAAAAAATCTATTCTAAGAATAATCCGTGCTGATTAGTGAATTGACTGTGTATTTTGCGGGCGAAACGGGGCAGACGGTTGCTTATCGTTCCGGGGAACGCGGGTTGCTGACATTAATTATTATTATTATTATTATTGCTGTACCTTTGGGCCAGGCTTTGATAAAGGATTTGGCGGAATCGGAGGAGCAGTACGCAGCACACCTTCGCAATCACGCACAGAACGTGGACAGGATGATAAACATGCAGTGGGAGAGGCTGCAGGTTTTAGATGACGAGTTCACATCAGAGGTGGACACCCTGAAGAAAGAGTTCGAATCCGAGGGGTGAGTGCCCCATTCTGCTTACCCAGCCGTCAGCAGGAAGCCGGTCGTTAGTCGATTGGCGGACCGCTTTTCCGGGGGGGTGGGGGCTGGGGGGGGGGGTTAATAATCCTTTCAAAATAAACAATAATAATTTGGTCACTCAACCTCAACCAGACACACAGACACAAAGCAAGATAATACTACTACTACTAATAATAATAACCTTTGCATTTGATAGAGCGCCTGAGACGTCTGAAAGTGCTTCACAGACTGTATCGGGAAAGTGGATTGACCGTGCATTTGGTGGGCGCAACGCGGCAGCCCGTTGCGCACACAGCAGCGTCCCCGCAAAGAGTCGTTGATTAAGCGACCCACTTTTAATTTTTATTATTACCACCGGAAAGCGATCTCCGCCGATCGACTTAACAGCAGAGCCTAAACCGTTTCGGTGATTATTCTTGTTCCCCTCTCTGCGTCCCCGACAGGCACGAGTTTTCTGACCTACAAGAAACGGAGATGACCAACTTGGAGGATATCACGTACGCGATGGACCAGATGTTTGGCGAGATCGCAAACGAGGCGAGGCAAGAGTTCAACAGCACGAAAGACGACCTCAAAAACAGGGTAAGGCCGTGCGGTGACCGGACTGATTCAGGATAGACAGTCAGCTCACCACAAACAGGGTGATAGAAAATGTCCCTCACCAGACAATGTTCTGAGTAATGTCTGTAGTCTAAACGCAACCTTCAGTGTACAGGACAACCCAGTTATTACCTCTCCTCCTCCTCCACCATTGGCCTTCAGCCTCTCTGCCCCCACCCTCTGGAAATCCATCTCACAGTCCCTCCGCCTCACAACCCCCCCCCCCACCCCCACTTCAAGACCCTCCTCTTCGACTGCGCCTTCGGTCGCCCTCCTACCCCTTACCCTCCCCGCCCTCCACCCTCTCCTGATCCCAGACTGCCCAGCGCCTTGGGACGTCCTCCTGACGTGAAAGGCGCCACGTCAACGTCAGGTGGGTGTCGTTTATCGTGCTGGTGACCCACCCTAACACGGTACACCCGGCTACTTTTGGTGCTGGCCAGCTGGCTCACCGCCCTGTTGCCTTCCACCAACTGAGCCGAGCTGACATTGCCCGTCATCGCCAATGCAACCGCCCACCCGGCCCTCGTGTTGTGTTCAGAGCCTGGAGGAGAAGCACTCGCTGCGGGTACAGCTGGAGGGGGAGGTGGAGGACCTGTGGCAACAATTCCAATACGTCATGAAGTTGTACAACGAGGCGACCGAGGAACAGAAATCCGCTTTCGAGCTGCTGAAGGAGAGGGACGAGAAGAGCGCCAAAGAGATCGAGAGGCAGATGAAAAAGCTGCAGAGAATCCAGGTAAATCCCAACATCTTTCTCTCCCGCGTACTCGATTTAACCGTAAAAGTAGTGGCTTATAAGCGAGCGGGCCCGGGCTCGATTCCCCGGGCGGGGCGAAACCCCAGCCTAGTTTCCTTTATGCGGCGGACGCCGCCGTGCGCGATCGGCTGCCGCGTTTCCCCCACGAATCGTCCAGTGGATTCACTTTCAGCCTCGATCGAACAGAGTGGCGGAGCAGGCTCGAGGGGGCTCCTCCAGCTCCTGTAGCCCCGCGCGTTCTCAGAACGAATGTCTAAAGCTAACCAGAGATGTCGCTCGCCCTCCTACCCCCCCCCCACCCCCCACACCGCCCCCTCACCCGCCCCGCCCTGCCCTCCACCCCCTCCCGATCCCAACCGCTGGGTAAACATCGTGCGTTGTTGCGGCTGCTTCGTAGGACACGATTACCCTGCTGCGGATCAAGTTGGCAGCCAACGCCCGGGAGTGCCAGGAAAAGAACAAGAAACTCCGAGAGGAGAAGGCCACCATTAAGCAACACTTCCAGACGCAGAAGAACCACATGAAGCAGCTGCAGACCAACGAGCGAGAGCGGCTCATGAAGCTAACACTGGAGAGCAACGCTGCCCTCAAAACACTGGGAAAAATCTGCAAACAGGTAACCGAGGGAGTCACCGAGCGCTCGATCCACCCCAGGTAGTCGGGCACTGGATAATAATTAATCATCAATCAGAAACGATTGATTAATACTAATTTAATAATAATGATGATGAATAACCATTGCGTTTGACACAGCGCCTTATCACGTCGTTGAGACGTCTCAAAGCCTTTCGCAGGATACACCATAAAGTGGATCGATGGTACATTTGCGCAGCCAACTGTCCCACAGTCTTGGGAGTGAGTGAGGGGGGGGATTTGAAAGTGGGGCGGGAGGGGGGGGGGAAAGGCGGAGGGAATGAGAGAGAACCTAAAGACCTTCCTTTTGAAAGCGCTTAAGGTCACCCCCCCACCTCCCTCTCCCCCCTGGCTCGGTGTCAGACTCCCGTCAATGTCGAGCTCTCCGGGACTCTTATGCTGTGAAGAATGCAAGTTGTTGTTGTTGGACGAGTTCTTAGGAATGTGTAAGGGCCCAAACGGTGTTTATTTGAAGCGGTGTAACCTTCCTTCGATGTGTTCCAAGGGGGAACATGTGCTGAAAGTGGCTGAGATGTGCAGGAAGCTGGAGACTGAAGAGGAGAAAATACTCCCGTTCTATGCTTCGTCTCTGACGTCAGAAGACCAGGACCGAGTTCGGAACATGATGCTGAGGAAGACGAAGGAACCATTTGCTATGGTACGTGTTGGTTAGGCTCTTCCTTACACTTGATCTTCTAAGACCTTACGGGGAGCCCTGTAGCTCAGTGGTTAGAGCCCTCGCCTCGCAAGCGAGAGGACCTGGCTTCAGTTCTTGGGCAGGGCAAAACTCTGGACAAGTTTCCTTACTCCCGCACAAGGAGTAAGGAAACTGTTTACTTAGCAGTTTTTTTTTTAGATAATTGGGGTAGCTGAAAAATAAGACGTTTTGATCACCGTGTATATCGTGAGTTGGTGGCTTGAGGTCAAAGTTGGGCTGTTGGTTAATTCCCTTGGTTGAGCGTGTTCCCGGCTGGAACCACAGATGAAATGGGAGATAAAAAGGTGTTAGCTGTTTCTGGATTCACTGAAGAGGATGACTGGGGCTAGATCTCACGGGAGAGAGAATTTGTTCCAGATTTCTTTGGTGCGAGTTTGTCCCGCACCCAACCGCACGCGACCGTTCTGGATTCAACACAACGTGATCGTTCTAGATTTGACATGGTGTGGTTGTTCTGGATTTAGCATAGTGTGATTGCTCCAGGTTTGACAGTGTTTGTTCCAGGTATCATTGGGTTTTTTTTATTCCCCCCCTCCTCTCTCTTTTAAGCTGGATCTGGACTACATGGGCCTCGAATGCTTCTGGAAGCGTTACAACAAGGTACAGCTGGAGCAGATGACTCTGAATCAGGAGAAGCGAGTGTTGCAGCAGGAGAACGTCCACCTCCGGCAGCTCCTGAAACAATACCTCGACGGCATCTCGGTTAACGAAGAGATCCTCTCGAACCTCAACTCCCTCATCGTCATCAACAACAAGACCATGAAGATGAACGTGCCTGTGATGGAGACCAGGGTCGCCAAACCCGTGTGTAACATGATCGAGGCCGCACACATCTTCAATCACATCCCCTAGCCTCCTCCGGTCAGCAGCCAACAGACCATCCGATAAGCACACATATCACCTCTATTCGCGCTGTTGTCTCGTCTTGTCGACGTGGGACGTCCCCGCGTGTTTTTAAACCACCTGAAAACTCTTGAGAGTAAACCACCAAGTTATCTGCCTGCGTGGCTGAGTGTCCGATGGACCGTGTAATCAATCAATCAGAAGGTCCAGAGGGGAATTATCAATAAATGCAAACTATTGTTACTTTGGATTTTTTTTTAAAACACAAGTTTTCCCGAACAGGACCGGACTGAATGGCAGTTTCAACTGTCGTTCGACTGAACCTTTCTTTTATTGAAAAACCCACCAAAGCAAACTAGGTCACGTTTATGGGAGGGGGAGGGTTGGGGTGGGGTGGGGTGGGGGAGGGTTGGGGTGGGGTGGGGTGGGGGAGGTTTGGGGGGAAACACACACATTTATTTCTTTTTTAATTTGCTCCTCTTCTCCTCTTTGAGTTTCTTTTTCGAGACTTTGGTGGCAGTGGCTTTTGTGTAGAGGTAGTAAGCGATCAGGCACAGGAGACCGGGGATCAGCACAATGGAAGCCAAGGGCACAACTTCATTCAGCTTCTTTTTCCAGTACGTCTGCTTCAACAGAGACACCAGTTCAACCTCGAACACCAACGCAGCATCTCCTGAAACGCACAGCAGTCATAATTTAAAGCCACCTTCGTGTCTTCCTCCTTAGTCAGGGGGTGGGGAGGTAAAGTGGGGGGTCTCCTCGGAGCTGAACTGGCTCCAAGGTGACCTGCCTGGCAAGGGGATGTGGGGATCGAGCCCCACTTCCCCTCTGTAACGGTCTCTAGTCCCCGGTTCCTGAGCCAGGAGGGGCCGCAATGTCCCAGGGCACTCACTGCTGATGGCAGCACAGTCCGGCCCGGCTCATCCATCGGCAGAACCTGGAAGGGCCGACCAGTCACTGGGGGCAGGGAATCCTTCCCCTCGGCTCCCGTTCACCCCACAGCCAAAGCCCTGACTACCTAACTAACGGGGCGGGTGGTCCGAGCTGGACCAGCAGCGGGAAAGCTTAGCCAGACAGCGCTCTCTCAATGGCCGAGCTACGTGTGGGTTTAGCTGGTTAGACTCCAGCAGTTACCCCAACGCAGCTTTGGCTCTTGCCAACCTGCGCCTAATACTCTCCGGAATTAGGTAAGCAGTGGCGGGAGGGACACGGGGGGGCGTCCCTCCGGGGGGAGAGAGAGAGAGAGAGTGCATTCCATTCCGACAATCTGTCTCTGGAGTTTCCATGTGTAGGTGGGATGCGGGGAATTCTCAGTTGGGTTTGGAGACTCTTAAGCAACGGTGATGGGTTTCCGCGGGTGTCAAGACAGCCGCCTGACCCTCTCCCCCCACCCCCCCCCCCCCCACCCACCCCAAAAAGAAATCATGGATCTCAGGCCAAAACCACCTCCTCCGCTGACAACAGAAGCAAACACTTGCCTGGGATAGACGGCGGAAGGCCTCGCTTGCCGTAGGCCAGGTGAGATGGAATCATTAATCTCCTCTTCTCCCTGCAAGTTAACAAAAGACCGACCGTGAACTTCCCTCGGTTCTTTCCTCCCCTCGTCGGAGCCGACGTCAGCCGCGCACGCTTTACACGGCGCCGTTTTCTTTTTGGGCTGGAGAACGTCTCGAAGCTCCCCGCCGCCGTGAGAGTCACCCACAAAATACACAGTCGCCGCGCTTTACCGCCCGTCCTGGTGAAGCGCTTCGAGACGTCTCGAAGACCACGCGACGAGGCGCCGGGTCAACTGTGAGGATTGCTATTAACTTACCCGGTGCACATGTCCAGAAGGCCTTGCTCCAAGCCTGCGAAGGGGAAATAAAGTCGGGTGAATACCTTTCGGAAACCGCTCCTACGGTCCAGACACGTGAGGAGCAGAGCTCGAAGGTTACAATACAATACGACATTTACGCAGCAACTTTCACGCTGTCTAATAATAAATAAGAAGCCTCGCATTTGACGCAGCGCCTCATCGGGTCTTCGAGACGTCTCAAAGCGCTTCACGGGAGACGCTCCATCGTGAGTTGTCTGTATTATTTTGTGGGCGAAACGCTCCGGTGTTCCTCTGCTTAAAAACTTTTTTTTTGTCCATCCCCTTTCTTGGAGGTCTTTTGACCCCCGCTCGAGCCGGCGGGCAGACAGAACCGTCTTCCTCGAGCGCCTTGGGACGTCCTCCCGACGTGAAAGGCGCAATTTTGTTGTGGCGTCGAACGTGCGTTCGGGCGACTGAGAGCAAGTCATCTGTTCGTCTTGGGAACCAAGCAATAATAATAATAATAATAATAATAAGTATATAGTTTTTGGGGGACACAAAATGTCAAAGCGGCTGCCAGGATGGTGGAAGGTCTCCTTTTCGCCCGGCAAACTGTTATGTTCCTATGTTCAATCCTTTCTAACTGTGTTCCGTGGGCAGTGTTTCCGATAATGTTTCATTCTGTGAGTGTTTCTTTTTATGTATTTTTTTACCTGGGATAACCTGCTTTCTCCCCAGTTGAACATCCAAGGGATCGCGCACCAAAGAGTTATCAAACATGGTCCCATCATCCAGCCTCCCCTGAGACAGACAGACAGACAGACAGACGGTCAAGGAAAAATAATAATAATAATAATAATCCTGGTGCTTGATACAGCGCCTTATCACATCGTTGTGGCATCTCACAGCGCTCCACAGAACGTGGAATTGACTGTACATTTTGTGGGCGAAACGCGACAGCCAATTGCGCACAGCGACATCCCCACAAACAGTCGTGGATTGAGTGACCCGATGTTTTTTTTTTTTTTTTTTGGAGGGATTATTACCCCCCGGAATGCGATCCCCCCCCAATCGACTACCAACAGCCGCGTGGAGTATGGAAACTCGCCCCAATGCTTCGCCCTGACCCGGGAATCCAACCACGGGGAAGGGTTTCTACCTGCGTCACGACCCTCAGGCGGACCGACCGTGCGGAGCGGTGGGAGCGGACAGACTTGTAAGGGGAAAGTGTCTCATTTCAGGCATTTCCGCCTTTTCCACCTCTCCGTCGACTGACGTGGAGATTTAGCGAAGAGTGCGCACAGATGTGCTGCTCCCAGACTCCGCTCTGTGTGATCGATTGCTGGGGGTGGGGTGAAGGTGTGTGTGTGTGTGCGGCGGGTTGTGGGGAGGGGGAAATAACAATAATAATAATCCTCGCATTTGACACAGCGCCTGATCACATCGTCGAGACGTCTCAAAGCGCTTCACAGGATACGCTGTACCGTGTAGTGACTGTGTATTTCGCGGGGCCACACGACCCATCCCTGAGCCCTATTTCCCTTTCCAGCGCTGCGTTGTCAGGCGGTCACTTTCCATTTTATGTCGACGGCAACGCCACCTATTTTGTCTTTTTAAAAAAAAAACATCGACTCCCTCCCGCCAACTGCCGGCCGCATCCGCCTACAGAATACACAGTCACTACACTTCGCAGCGAAATCCTTTTTCCAAGCGCTTTCGAGATGGTTCCAAGCCGAGGGGTGAGGATCATCGCTGTAAACAACACCAATAAAAATAATAATACTAATAACAACATTATCGCGTCTTCGAGAACGTCTCACAGTCAAAAGGGTCGAAGCCAAAGAAAGTAACTGTTCCTCCCCATCGGGAAAAAAAAATAACCGGCAATAGTAGTCGGTTTTTTTTTTCGTGTCGCGGGAATTGCTGCAATTATTATCATATTATCGAGTCACAAACGTGTAGTGAGGCTATTTCCGGGACCCTCGCGAGTGCGAGCGGTTGCGGTGTTTGATCCCTTGAGGTTTCAAAGGGGATATATATCTGAAGATCTTTCTCAACCCATCGCAAGGAACTGCTGACGTGTTCCTCACTGCGTGTCCTTCGAGTCGGGCGCAGAACCACAGCTGTTAAGCACTATTTTTTTTGCAACCGAACAAAATTCTTCCCCGAATACACACACTCACTCTCACACTCCACTCACTCACTCACACACACTCACTCACTCTCACACAGATCTTGGACTTACAGTGTAGTGGATTTTCAGGTTGTCCCCCATTGCAGAATACTCTGAACACTGACCAGGTTTCAGCTGTTTAGAAACACAGGAAAACCATAACGTTAATGATTTGCAGCTACAGACATAATGCACTCACACACTCACACACTTACAGACACACTCACACACTTACAGACACACACACACACACACTCACACACTTACAGACACACTCACACACTTACAGACACACTCACACACAGACACACACACACACACTTACAGACACACACTCTTATACTCACACACTCTTAGACACACACTCACACACACTGAAACACACACACATTACACACACACACACACACCCAAACACACACAGTGACACATACCCCTCTCACTCTCACACTCACACACACACACACACACACACTCAGACACTCACACTCAAGATACACAGAGAAAGAGAGAGAGAGAGGGAGAGTCAGGACACAAACTGCATTCCATCAACCAGTGGGAAACTGCTCACAAAAGGGGTTTGAACATCTGGAAATGACTGTCCTTCCCTTCCTTCCTTCTTCCCTTCCTTCCTTCCTTCCTTACCAGCACTTCCACGTGTAGCTTTGCCTCTCTCTCCCCCTCTTGTTGGCTGTTACTTCCATCCCATGAGACCAGGAGCAGTGCAATGAGGAGCCTCTCAGCCCCAGACATGGCCAAAAGGGGGGACCTCAGATGGACTTGTGGGACTGAAGGGCAGCAAAAGGGAACACACTTCTTTGTCTCCCAAACTCTGTTCCCAAGAAAGTCAGAGAAAAAGAGAGAAAAGCAAAGCTTCCTCACCCCCACACACCCTCCCAAAAAAAACCTGCCCCAAGTTTCTGTTGTCTCAATGCTGCCTCCTTGCCCCAGACAACTGTTATTGCACAAACTCACCCCCATTGCAACTCACGACGTCCCCTCCAAATAATAAGGATAAATGATGTTAATCATAAGTAAATCGACGGCGCTAATTCTGATAATAATCCCGGCCTTTGACATCGCGTCGTCGAGGCACTCCCAACGTGTGGTGAAAGTGCAAGTGGGGCTGTGCCCGCGTCGGGGGCCAAAAGCGGGAGCCGATTTGCCCCCAAACCGACGTGAAAGGCGCTGTGGACGTGTAACCGCGTCGTCGTTGTCGTCGTCGTCGTCGTCGTTGTTGTCGCCGCCGCCGCCGTCGCCGGCCACGAGTGAACCGGACCCGCGGCTCTCGACACAGCTCCGCGCGGGACCTCTTCGGGGTTTGGACTTAAGTCGTCGCTGCAAATCGGACGCTTGAGAGCAAAGAGAGGGGGTGGGGGTTGGGGGGGGGGGGGGGAGCGCGAAAAGGAGATGGAGCGACGCTGAGCTGAACCGTTTCTTCTTCTTTGCCGGGAGAGGAAATAGTCCGAGTCACGGACGGATAACCCCCAAAGGTTATCCTGGGATTACGGATTATGCTCAAAAGGAGAGGGCCACCCTCCACGGGGGGGGGGGGGGGGTTGAGGGGGGCGTGGGGGTGGGGGGGGGTATTCAGGACGTTCAAGTCTAATTTAAAATGGCCTTAAATGTATTTATTTTGGGGCTTTGTTTTTTCATTTTATTTTTTTATTTTGTTTTTATGGTTTATTGTTTAACAGCGCTCCACGAAACCGGAGCTGTTTATGTGCAATGTTTTTTGTTGGAACAAGAATTTCTCCCTCACCCCTCTTTTCCCCCCTCCCTCACCCCTCTATTCCCCCCTCCCTCAACCCTCTATTCCCCCCTCTCCCTCACCCCTCTATTCCCCCCTCCCTCACCCCTCTATCCCCCTCCCCCTCTATCCCCTCCCTCACCCCTCTATTCCCCCCTCCCTCACCCCTCTAATCCCCCTCCCTCACCCCTCTATCCCCTCCCTCACCCCTCTATTCCTCCCTCACCCCTCTATCCCCCTCCCTCACGCCTCTATTCCCCCCTCTCCCTCATGACTGCATCATCCAGTTGAAGTTTCTTGCTGGTTCAAGACCTTCCTCTTTGACTGTGCCTTCGGTCACCCTCCCGCCCCGTCTCCCTCGCCCTCCCGCCCCGTCTCCCTCGCCCTCCCGCCCCGTCTCCCTCGCCCTCCCGCCCCGTCTCCCTCGCCCTCCCGCCCCGTCTCCCTCGCCCTCCCGCCCCGTCTCCCTCGCCCTCCCGCCCCGTCTCCCTCGCCCTCCCGCCCCGTCTCCCTCGCCCTCCCGCCCCGTCTCCCTCGCCCTCCCGCCCCGTCTCCCTCGCCCTCCCGCCCCGTCTCCCTCGCCCTCCGCCCCGTCTCCCTCGCCCTCCCGCCCCGTCTCCCTCGCCCTCCCGCCCCGTCTCCCTCGCCCTCCCGCCCCGTCTCCCTCGCCCTCCCGCCCCGTCTCCCTCGCCCTCCCGCCCCGTCTCCCTCGCCCTCCCGCCCCTCCTGATTATAGCCCCCAGCTCGGGTGCAAACCTTTGACTCTCGTCCCGATGTGGAAGGCGATATATAAATGCCATTTATTATGATTATTATTATCATTATCATCGTCGTCGCAGGGACGCGACTGTGCGCAATGGGCTGCCGCGTTTCGCCCACATAACACACAGTCACTACGCTCCGCAGCGTATCCCGCGAAGCGCTTCGAGACGCCTCAAAGACGTGATAAGGCGCTGTGTCAAATGCAAGGATTGTGATTGTTATTAATATTATTATTATGATATTATTATAATTATTATTGTTGCTGCTACATTCTACCAACGTACAAATAATTTTTCACGACTAGAGGGCGCTGCCACTCAATCAAATCATTCAGTGACGCTGGTGGTCAGGATTCCGGCAGTTTTATCGGTGCAATTGTAGCATCTTTCGCATCACAGCGAAATGATATAATAATAATAATAATAATCATAATTTGGACCCAGCGCCTCATCACCGTCTTCGGCCGCCTCGAAGCGTAGTGACCGTGTGATGTGCGGGCGAGACGCGGGTGGCAAATCGCGCACCGCAGCGTAGTGTCCCCCGCGAACAGCCGCGGATTGAAGTGACCCAAATGTATGTATTTATCTATTTATCTATTTATCTATTGATCTATTTATTTATTTATTTCTCTGTTTATTCATTAAGTATCTTTCGCATCACAGCAATATCCGGAAGCATTTAATAACAATAATAATAATAATAATAATAATAATAATAATCATAATAATAATAATAGTCCTCGTGTTTGATAACAGCGCCTCATCGCGTCTCCGAGACAGCTTTTCTGGGGTTAATAATCCCCTTCAAACAAAAGCTAAAAATAATTACGATAATTATTGCCCTCCTGAGCTCAACTGGGGTCCAACTGGGGTCCAACTGGGGTCCAACTGGGGTCCAACTGGGGTCCAACTGGGGTCCCACTGGGGTCCCACTGGGGTCCAACTGGGGTCCAACCGGGGTCCAACCCCCTGACTGTCCAGCGTCTCGTCCCCACTTGAAAGGCGCTCCGCAAATATAATTTTGCATTTGTATTGCATTGCATCAAATGCAAAGATCATTGTTATTCATATTAACATTATTATTGTCAATATCATTATGATTGTTATATTACTATTAGATTATCTTTCATTGTATTGTTACATTGTCATTATATTATTATTTGTATTTTACTATATTATTAGTATTATATGACGATATAATTGTTATTATCAATATCATTATTATATTATTATTACACCATTATTAGTATTATTATTGTTATTTTTGGCAGACGCACTCATTTGGGGAAGGGTCCGGGGAGCTGACACCCCACGTCCCTCGAACGCCAACCTGTTCGCCTTTCAGGGCTGAGAACAGCGGCAGCGACCAACAGTCCTGGGGTTTTTGCCCCATCCGCCCCCTTCGCCCATCTCCCCCACCATCTCCCCCCCCCCAACCCCCCCATCCCTCCCCACCCCCACACCCCCCACTGGTAGCAATGAACCTAAATCATTCGTCTCCAGATCCAAGCGAATTGACTTATTTATTTATTGTTGTCATTTACTTCGGGGGCGTTTTCATGGCAGGAGGGAACTTAACGAGCGATGCGGGAGCGAATTGATGGCTGTGTGTGTGTGTGTCCCCCCCCCTATTTTATAGCCCTCTGCCCAGTGCCCCCCCCCCCCCACCCCCCAATTTAAACTCTCCTTTGTAACTGGATCTCGAGCCAAACGCATCACACCAGCCCCAGAGGCTGCGATGGACCCAAACCGCCAGCAAGCGGCGACACACCACTGCGCAGGCGGCGATCGACTCGACGCGATGGCTTCGAGAACGTCTCAAAGTGCTTCCCGGGATACGCTGCGAAGCGTAGTGACCGCCTACTTCGTGGGCGAAACCCGGCAGTGCGCAGCGAGTGATTGTTTTTTTGAGGGATTTTTTTACAGTGCAGATTTACTTTTTTTATATATAATAATAATAATAATAATAATAATTATATATAGATATATAAAATATATAACTGCTCTGTAAGATGGTTAACTGTGACATAAGGTTTGTAGGTTTGCGCGTGTGAGATAGAGAGAGAGAGAGAGAGAGAGACGGATCAGCAGGCAATCCAATCGGGCGTGGGGGGGGTAATTATTTGCAAAGTATTTCGGTTCAAAAAAAATTCAAGTGAATAAAAGACAAGAGAAGGGGCAGAGAAATTCGCAGAGAGAGAAAAAACACCAAAGCTGATCCTCTCTCTCTGTCTCTGTCTCTTTCTCTCTCTCTCTCTCTCTCGCCCGCAAGAACGAGAAATATTTCGCACTTCGTAAACAGCGATACATTTATATATATTTCAAAAACATAGACGTTTACGCGCGCTCACGCGCACACGCGGGCACACACGCGGGCACACACGCGCCCGCGCAGACCGAGAGCAACATCTTTAATGAGAGTGACGTTCGTCTCTTAGTGAGAACTGGTGAGGGGGAAATGTTCCTCGGGGGGCCGTTGGGGTAGTTGGGGGAGATGGGCTTCTATGGAGACAGTCGTGGAATCTCACCAATGCTCACAGGGAGTACGGCTGTCTATTATGGCCATCCCACAGCCCTTTGTGTTGCTCTTCCGTGACTAGAAATTGCTGTGTTTTCCCACTCTCTTCCCTTACATACCACTGTCAGTTGCTGTGCGTCTGAAAAGACATAATACCCCAATCCCCCTCATGATTTAATGTGATTACCTCCCGGGTCAATAACACTTCGACTTGTTACTGTCGAGAGGTGAGACTGGGAACAATGCGAGGCGAGGGAGAAAGCTAGCGAGATGAGTGATGACCGCCTCGAAATAGGCCTGACGGAGAGAGAGAGAGAGAGAGAGAAAAAGGCTGGTAACGCTCTCTCAGCTCTGTGCTCCCAGATGATGATGATGATGAGGGGGGAATTGATGCGCCATTTCGACCCAGTGCCGTGTGGCGCCTTTGCCCATCGTGGGCGGGTGCGGTGGTGCGGTGGTGGGCGGGAAATCGTGGACGCGTTCTCTTTTTTTTTTGCCCATTCCTCCTGTCACTGTCATCCGTTCCTCCATCCGCAGAAGCCCAGCCAGATTAGCACAGAATGGGACTTAGCGGCATTAGTGGAAACCGAGAAAGCTTTCCGGTTTCCTTGGCCCCCGCTCATTAAAGGCTACTTTCATCCCTGTCCCCAGTCAAGCTGGGATAAAGTGCCCGCGGCCCATTGAAAACCAGTCGGGCACACTAAAGCGGTAATCCTCGCTTACTATCTTTGCGGCGATGGGAATTAAACAGATTTAGATCAATTATTTGGAACCCAGTGAAAGTAAAGCTCACCCCCCACCACCCACACCACCCAACCCTCTCTCTCTCTCTCTCTCTCGCTCTCCCTCCTCCGGTGTTTCGACGACAATCTGCCTTAAAAAATAACAGTAATGGTCATTTGGTCGCTTCAGTCCACCGCTGCGCGTGGGACGTCGCTGCGCGCCAACGGCCGCCGGCGTTTCGCCCGCAGAGTGGCGGTCACCGCGCTTCGCCGTGCACCCTGCCGAGGGCTTCCAGACGTCTCAGTGGCACGCTAAGGGGCTACGTGTGAACGCGAGGATTATTAGAATTACTGTTCGGATCAGCTCTCTGTTGGCGGAGTCTCAAAAATGATAGGCTGTTTTACTGCGTGAAACCTCGGGCGAGTTTCCTTACTCCACACCCGCGCGCCGCACACACCCGTTGACCCAGCAGCAGTAAGTGGGAACGCGCTCCGCAGTCGATTCGCGGGGGCACGAATTCCTTCAGAAACACCGATTCGTTCACTGGCTCCGCGACCGCTTGCGACGACACCGCTGTGCCCAATTGGCTGCCCGCAAAATACAGTCACTGCACTTTGCAGTACATTACGCGAAGCGCTTTTGAGAGACGTTCTCGGAGGGTTTCACGGGGTACTCTGTAAAGAGCAGCGACGGTGTCGTTTGTGGGAGATAAGGCGTTGTACCCAACGCGAGGGTTTTCTTTTAAGATGGTCACTTGCGTGCAGCGGCGCGGACAGGAACAGAGGCGGAACGGTCGGAAAGCGGGGCTTTAGGTAGAGAGTGTTTAATCAGGACCAGTTTTACAGTATCGGCATTTGTCACCACTGATCAATGACTCAGAGCATTAAACATAAAATCTAGCAAACATAACCAGACCTACGCAAATTCACAGCACACAGACTGCAACTAGAAAAAAATCACACGCGGGCGGGCGGGCACTGGGCCGGGGGGGGAAGGGGGCGACGGGGTGGGTGGGGGTTGGTTAGGGGAAAAGGTGGGGTGGTGGTGGGAGGGGGGAGAGGGGGTTGGGGGAACAATTGTTAGAGTTTACATCAGCATCATTAAACAGGAATGACCGCAAAGTGCAATTTAAAACATAAAAAAAGTAAAAAGTTCCACTTATTGGAATGTGAATAAAACACATTTGTCGTTTCGTTTCGTTTCTCTCTCCGAGATTAATTCAGATCTTTTGATGCATGCGCTTTTTTTTTTGTTCTTTATATCGTTCGACGCGAGTCCGAGGCAGCCTTTTGTTTTCCTCCCTCTTCCCGAGTTTCCCGCATTATTACCAACAGCGGCCCACAAATAAAAAGCCGCCCCACCCCCCCCCCCACCCCACACCCCCACAAAAAATAAAACCGCTATTGCTCGCAATCTCGGATTTAAATTAGAATTAAACCAGAAAACACAACGGCCTAAGGAAAGTAAGAGTCGGTTGGGCTGAATGTTTAAATGAGACAGAAGGAGTCATCTCATCTGGAGGCCTTCGGAATACGATCCATTGAAACAGCAATGGGAGGGGGGGGTGGGGAGAGGGGAAGAGAGGGGGAAAAAGGGGAAAAGGGGGGCGGTTTGTGGGAGCCGCTGAGATTACTTCTTTTTCAACTGGTTGGCTAACCATTCCAGGCCTTCGTTGAGCCCGTCGCCGCTCGTGGCGCACGTGGCCTGGATGTACCAGTTTCGGTTGCGGAGGGAGTGTAAGCCCAGTTTATCTGTGATTTCGGCTGCGTTCATGGCATTTGGGAGATCCTGAGAGAGAGAGAGGGAGAGAGAGAGAGAGAGAGAGAGGGAGAGAGAGGGAGGGAGGGAGAGAGAGAGAGAGGCAGGTGAGGACCTTTACACCTCGGCTACTGCTTCCCGAGGATCTCTGATGCCACGACAGTGTTTACCCGGCGCCTTTCACGTCAGGAGGATGTTCCAAGGCGCTGGACAGTCTGGGATCAGCGCCCGAGCCGGGGGTCAGGATCGGGAGGGGGTGGAGGGTAAGCGGTTAGGAAGGCGAGCGAAGGCGCTGGTCGAAGTGGGTCTTGAAGGGGTGGGGGGGGTGGGGAGAGAGGGGGAGCACGTAGAGCAGCTTCCACAGAACCTGCAACGCTGCGCAACCCTCCCCCCCCACCGGGCGCTGCCCACCCTCCCGCGCGCCCCGTCGTTACCTGCTTGTTGGCAAAGACGAGGAGAACGGCATCTCGCAACTCGTCCTCCGCCAACATCCGCGCCAGCTCATCCCGAGCCTCGTTCACTCGCTCCCGATCATTGCTGTCGACCACGAAGATCAAACCTAGAGAGAGAGAGAGAGAGAAGTGGTGGGGTGGGGGGGGCGGAGAGGAGAGAGGAATATATTGGAAGGGTTTATGTTGCTCCAGGTCCCGCCTGCCCACCCGCCTCTCATTTTGCTCCCGGTGTTGGACACCGGGTGTCGGGTGTTTTAAGACCGGAATCACAAACCGTCTTGGGCTGGAGAGACGAGTGACTCGTCACAGGACATCCCAAGACGCTGGACAGTCAGGGATTTGGATCGGAGCTGGTGGAGGGGGGGTTAGGAGGGTGACCAGATCGAGGGGGAGCGAGGCGAGGTGGCGGGGGGGGGGAGAATGTGGGACCGAGTTCCAAAGGGTCCCGTAAAAGCGAGGCAGGTCAAGCCCAGGGCGGGCATCTCGGGAGAGCGACGCGGGGGGGTTGGGGGGTGGGGGGTGGGGGGTTGGCGGGGGGCGCTTTGCCGGCGAGGGAGACGGCTCGGCTCGTACCTTGCGTGTTCTGAAAGTAGTGACGCCACAGAGGGCGGATTTTATCCTGCCCGCCCACATCCCACACCGTGAAGCTGATGTTTCTATATTCCACAGTCTCGACGTTAAAACCTGGAAAAAGAAACAAGACGGGATTTTTTTTGTGGTCCTCCCCACCCCTCCCTGCCTCCCTCCCTCCGTCTAAAAGAATCACCGTCCTCACAATAATTACAACCAACCTGGCGCCGCGCTTTATCACACCTTCGAGACGGCGCCAGATTGGCCGCACGTTTCCGTGGGACGGTTCACGTGAGCGCCAATTTACAGCCAGAGTCCCGGGGTCTTTACCGGGCAGTGTGGGTGGATGGCATCCCGGCGGCTTGACCAACGCATCCACAGGACCACCGCCGCCACACCCCGGGGTGGGGAGTGGGGGAGTGTGGGTGGGGTGGGCTCCCTCGGGCCGCGCTGCAAACCTGAGCTCGTGCGCGCGCGGCCCGAACCGGCCCAGCGACCCGCGTTTCCGCCAGCTATCGCCGGGCCATCAAAACGAATGAAGGGACGGGGGCGGAGGGCTGCGAATAAAAGGCCTTTTAGGCGTCGCAATACCCAGCGACGCCGAGGCCACCAGGGGGAGCGCTGATACTCCAGTTCGCTCAGGTTCAGAGCGTTCGGGGAGTAGAAGCTGCAGAATAAAGCCTTTCAATCGCAGGCCCCGAGACCGGGGGGAGTACGTGTCTACGCGACGTGAAAAAAAAAAAGGGCTTTCGGACGGCTCCACCTGACCGCGCGCGAGCGATCCAACGGGGAAGCGCGAGTTTTCCTTCCAGGTTTTCTCGAGCCGGACACGGAGACGGCCGCGGAAGCCGTCGGCCGCGAGGGGAGAGAGAAAAAAAAAGAAGCCACGCGGGTCCTTTCGGAACGGAATTGGGCCGAGTCCCGATCGAGCAGGGAGGGAGGGGAGAGGGGGCCGCGGAGGGAGAGGAGGAGAATCGTGCGTTGAATCGGATTCCGAAGGAGGATACGAAATCAGAATCACGTCTGAGACGCGCAAACGTATGATCGCACAAACAGGAAAATCTCCCGGGGGGTGGGGGTGGGGGGTTGGGGGTGGGGGGGGGTGGGGGGGGGTTGGATTTGAAGGTGAAGCCAAACAGCTGAAGGCCAACGCAAAGCACAATATCCACAACGTCTAATTATTATTATTTTTTATTAACATACTTTTACCTCTTAACGTGCAGGGAACGTACGGCCACTGGAATTTTTACACGTTAATTTTGGAGGGGCATCGAATTAATAATAATAATAATGATAATAATCCTGGCATTTGACACGGCGCCTTATCCCGCCTTTGAGGCGTCTCAAAGCGCTTCACGGGATACACTGCAAAGTGAGAGACCTGAGTTCAATTCCAGGCAGAGGGCGAAACCTCGGGCAAGTTTCCTTACTCCACACAGAGCCTAATAATAATCCTCCAAAACCAAAAACAATAATAAATTGGTCATTTTCAACCCACGACTGTTTGTGGGACATTGCTGTGCGCAATTGGCTGCCGTGTTCGCCCACAAATATACAGTCAATTCACTTTACAGTGTGTTCTGTGAAGCGCTTTGGGACGTCCTCCCGACGTGAAAAGCACTATATCAAATGCGAGGATTATTTTTATTATTATTATTTGACTGGATGTTTTGCGAGCGAAATCCAGAAGCCAACTGCGCGCAGCGGCGTCCCCACGAACAGCCGTGACTGTATTATCTTTATTTATTTTGGAGGAATTATATTACCCCCCGGAAAAGCGATCTGTCAATCGACTAACAACCGGGTTCCTACTTACTGCTGGTAACCAGAGGAGAGTGTGCGTGCGTGTGGGGAGTAAGGAAATTTGCCCAACCTTTCGCCCCCTGCCCGGGATGGGAATCGAACCCAGGCCCTCTCGCTTGCGAGGCGAGGGCTCTAACCACTGAGCTACAGGGACTCCACAGGGTCACGTTAATACTATTCGGCTTGTGCGTTACTCCCAGTTGTTTGGCTGTAAACGTACCTATGGTGGGGATAGTAGTAACAATTTCTCCCAGCTTCAACTTGTAGAGGATGGTGGTTTTCCCAGCTGCGTCCAAACCCACCATGAGAATCCTCATCTCTTTCTTGCCGAACAATTCCTTTAAAGGTTTTAAGAGGTTCCCCATGTTTGGAGATCAGTCAACGTAGGGTCGGTAGACGTCCTGAGAAAAATCTGCGGCTTCCTATTCAAAGAAAAAGCAACCGTCAATAGAGTCACAGGCTGTTGTGCCATCAGGAGCCGGACTTGAGAGATAGTCACAGCATTCAGTTAATTACCTTGGAACCAGCTCTACTCAACCCCAAGGAGACCTCGCTTACCTCTACCCCCAGGAAGATGGACCCTAGTTGGTCGTCTTAACATCTTCACACAGACAGGTATAACGCAATGCAAATTTATATTCACCCAGCGCCTTTCATGTCAGAAGCAAGTCCCAAAAAGTGCAAATATTTTCAGGTGCGTGTTTATCGGTTGCCTCTGCTCTCTGAAAGATCGTGCGCTTTTTTGACGCAGCAGAAAACCAGCGCGGAAGGTCCCTATCAAGTCATAAATCCGGGTCCGAGGACCTCAGATCACCCAAAAGCTCTCAATTTGAAATAAGATTCGGCTGCGCTTAAAAAAAAAAAGTCACAGGAACAAATGTCAGTTAGTTTAAGAGAATTCGAAGGCAATGCGTGCATGTCTTACCTGGGTGGCAGTCCAGTATCAGAACAGCTGATAGGAAGTATCACCCACTACAAAAACATGAAGAGAACAGTCAAAACCTCAGGAAATTACCACCCTTTTCTCTTAGAAAAACCATTCCTTTTTTTTCTTCTCTTTTCTGCGGGCAGCCAGTGTACAAATGCTGCTCGGTTTAGCACTGTGACAAACAAGTTGGCTTTTCCACCCCCACCCCCACCCACCCCCACGCTCTCCCCACCCCTCCTCTCCTCCCCTCGCCCCACACTTCTCTTTTACTTTGAGATATTTCTGTTAACCCTTCACTGAGGCTGCTTTCAAAGGAACGAGTTATAAATCTACTGCAATTCGTCAAACTCCGCCTGACGAGGGCTGCGTTTGAACTCAAGGGAGTTGTTTGCAACCCCGACTCGCTCACAGGAAACGGGTTGCGTTCACAAAGCGGTTTCGTTTTCAAACCTTAAGAGTAAGTGGGATGGCGCTTCGCACTGCTACAGATTTCCAATCGTTCGGCCGGTGAGTCATTTTGGGTCTCCAGCAAGAAAAATATTGTCGTTTTGACACTAAAACCAAAACTACTCAAAATGCCTCAGGCTGAAAGAGTGGGCGTTTGCTCAGAAACCACTGAACTAAATGCCCAGTAGAACCGAGTCTCACTTTACGTCAGGAAAGACGAGTGCTCTAATTAACAGTCAGGGCACTCGCCTCGCAAACAGGAGGATCTGCGTTTGATTCCTGGGCGGGTCAGGGCGAAACGTTGGGCAAGTTTCCTTACTCCACACGCCTCTGTTTACCCAGCAGTAAGTAGGAACCCGGTTGTCAGTCGATCGGCGGATCTCTTTTCCGGGGGTAATAAATCCTTCAAAAACAAATAAAAATAATTTGGTCACTCAATCCACTCGATAATCTGATTAAAAAGCAGTCAAGAGCACAACTGAGAGATGGGTGAAACACTTTGGTAATGACTTGGTATTTAAACATAAAAATAACCTGTTCCTGCGGTAAATGTGATTTAAGTATTGCACAGTCTTTAGTTTGAGTTGGCATTTCAGTCGTCAAATTAAAAGACGGGCAATAAATGATTATAGCAAAAAGGTTCGGTGCGTGAGCAGTAAACTATAACAAGGGGGTGGGGGGGGGGGCGGAGGGAAGGTTCTTTGGAGGAGCAAGGGTTAACTGAGAATGATTACTGCAACGACAGAGGTTACCAGATTTTTGTCAATTCAACTCATCCAAATAGCTTCATTTGTTTTTTATTTAACAAGCGGCCGATTCGATTTAGAAACCTACCTCTTCAACATGTCTCTCTCCACACCCCCCGCCCACACCCCACGCTACGAAGACGTGACTCAATACGAAGGGTGTCGCAGAAAATGAAAGGAGCTGTGGCAGTCGCTTATTAAAATGGGCATTAGTCACGCCTTGGCCCAGACTGACTCTCTTGATTCCACACTGAGCGGTGAAACCTGAACGCTCGTTCAAAGCGCGCAGCTGGCGGTTTCGCTTCCAAACTGCCTTTGGGTACGAACCCGATTCTGACCTGCCTTTCGAGAGCTGCTACAGGTCCACGGGACACCGCCGGGTAACGTTTAAAAAGACTTTGCCCGCAAAATACAGTCACTCCGCGTTACGGTGTGCCCTGTGAAGCGCTTTTGAGACGTCTTGTGAAGACGTGACAAGGCGCTGTATCAAGTGCAAGGATTAGTATTATTATTATTATCACTGCACCAAGCCTCTCATGCCACCCAGACGTCGCCCAGTGCCGTGCTCTTAAACCTCAGTTCTAGTCCGTTTCAGAAAAGACTGAAAGACGTTCACGGTTGTCGACTCGACGTGGCTCACGGACACGTTAACTGCTCTCGTGCGAACCACAAGTCACATCCTCTGGACTCGAATTTGTTCACTCCATTCTCGGGTTAAGACAAACAGATGCAAACAAAACTGCTGACATTGCTCCGCCGCCTCGATCGACTCGAAGGCATCAGAATCTCACAGCTCTGTCAGGATCAACGAATACTGCAGCGCAGAAGGAGGCCATTCGGCCCATTTATGCCCGTGGAAGAGCTACCTAATCAGTCCCACTTCCCCGCTCCTAACCCGCCCATATCCTTTCAATTTTTCTCCTCTTCAAGTACCTATGGAACTCCCTTTTGGAGAGAGACCGGCACCCGAACAACAGGTTCGGAGAATCTGAACCTTTAACAAGTCTGACGCAGAGCTTAGTGAGGTTGGTGCTCAGTGAGATTTCCTGTTCACGGTCTACGATAACCTCCGAGATGATTTCATGAGCAACAAGGGACTTTGCAAACTGATTAAGGAGCTGTGCGTCTGCCTAAATCACTTGCTGAAAAAAAAACAAGAGTAAATTACAGCACATAATAACTAAACTCAAGGCTGTTCGGAAGAGCTGATTCTCTGCAAAATATGCACAAAACCTCCTCCTGCACTGTACTGTATTCCCACTTGGACTTAGGGAGGTACGACGACGATTTCTCTCGGGAGATGTTTTGGTGGAAGAAGGCTCTGCGTGCCGAAAACGTTCACTGCTGCCCATCGCGCGTTGGTGCGTGTGGGGGGCCGCCGCTGTGCGCAATTGGCTGCCGTGTTTCGCCCACAAAATCTACAGCCGCTACGCTTTACAGTGTATCCCGTGAAGCGCTTTGAGACGTCTCGAAGACGCGACGAGGAGCTGCGTCAAATGCAAAAGGCTATTATCATTATTGTTATTACTATTATTATTACAGCCTCGTTTAAAACACTCAGAACTGTACAGAGTACGGCCTCGTTTGACAGTGCAGCACAGTGACTGAGCCTGGCAGTGCCATTTGGTGCCAGATTCGGTCGTTCAGCCAGAATTGTCCGCACAATGCAGCGTGTCAGGACAAACCACATTCAACCCACAGACAAAGCCCTGGTGTCCCATTCTGGTACCCTGTCACGAGGCTTGGGGGGGGGGGGGGGGGGGTGTGGGGGGGGGTTTAAAGATAACCCGAGGGCTCGAGAGGCACCAATTCGTTCCGTCGGGGTTAAAGGCGAGCGTGCGATCCAGCGAAGGCGTGCCAATCCTCCCAGCAGGAGGAGGAGGAGGAGGAGCGGGTCGGCCGGTCCCATTTCAAGGTCAACCTCGATAAGATTACGGTCGCAGTTTGCACCTCGCGAAATACGTGCGAGAATTTCTGAGAAGCTGGCAAGCCCGGCGGGTTCGGTTCGGTTCGGCTCTGACACCCCGACGGTAACCATTCGACCCCCCGCCCCTTATCGCGTCTTCCGAGACGTGGCTCTGCCGAGCGCCTGCTTTGCGGGCGACGCGCTTCCGCCGGCGCCGGTTAAAGCGAACGCGGTGATCCTCGCGTTCGAGGCAGCGCCTTTCCGTCGCGCCTTCGGGGGAACGGAAGCGCTCCCTTCGCCGGACGCGCGGTAAAGCGAATCGACGGCGGCTTCGGAGGGCGGAGGCGTGCGGCCCCCACATGGAACTAATGGAGGGCTGGGAATGTCACCCCGACGACGACGACGACGATGACAACAACTTGCGTTTACACAGACGGCGTACTCGGGAACTTCCTTTAAACTTCCCCCTTCCCCGACAGCTCCGTGCAAGCAGTCAATTACCAGCGTTAGTTCCAAAGCACTTTAGTCATAGCTCAGTAACGCCCGCCCTGTGCCTCCTTAAATTGTGCAGAAACACCCCAATCTCCACAGCAACCTCTGCTGGTGCTCCTGCTCTCGCAGCTCCGCGCCCGCGCTTCCTTCAAGCCCCGTCTCCAGATCCCTGAGCGCCCAGCGCCTCGTGACATCCTCCTGACGTGGAAGACCCGAGCCTGACTGCCGTCACCGGTTCGAGGCCCGAAGCCTCGGACGGGAAGTTAAACCCCACCACCTTCGCCCAATTCCGCACCGTGGCTCCGGTCGGAGCTGGAGAAGACCTCAGTTAAGCACTCCCGGGTCGCCCTCCGCTAACACATTCATCGCGCGTTAAGGACTTGGGACGAGGGAAGAGGGCTGCACACCCTGGAACGATGGTGACCTTCGATGAGGAGGTGGAAGTAGGAAGTTCTAAAGGGATTATGCGAGGGAGGGTGGGGGGGGTGGGGTGCAGGGCTCTGGCAGCTCTGAGTTCAACACAAGGAAGTATGAGCTCGTCCGCTTTGCATCCTGATTGGAATATTTTCTCGAGGGCGAAAGACCAGGAGCCTGCGGGGGGCGGGAGGGGGGGGGGTGGGGGGTGGGGAGGGATTGAGGTGACGCACGCATCGCTAGAGGCTGGCGCACGGGGTACAGAGAGCAATCAAAAAGGCCTCTCGACTGGGCGGCTACGGAGAAACTATTTCCTCTCGTGAGGGAGTCCGGAATGCTCCAGGTCTGAGCTCGGCCGGTTGGGGGGCTGCCACCGGGAATTATTGCTGACGGAACGCTCTCCCCTCACCCCCTCACCCCCCCCCACGAAGAAAAGGCTGGATCACTGGGAATTTCAGACCGAGAAATACCGCTCAGATGTTTGCAAGGGTACGACTACAACAACAGCTACTACTTGCATTTTAAACCGCGCCCCTCACGCGGGGCAGTGTCCCGGAGCGCTTAACAGTGGCCGAGGAGCCTGTAAGAGCGGTCGAAGAGGAAGGTCTTCAGGCGTGATCTGAAAAAGCGGAAGGGGGGGGGAGGTGGGGGTGAGGGCGGGGGGGCAAGGCGGAGCGACTGAGGGAGAGAATTCCGAAGTTTCGGGGCGCACGGCCACCAACGGTGGAGCGGAGGGATGAGGGAGCGATCGGGGGTGGGGGCGGGGGGTGGGTGTGTGGTGGGGGGGGGGTGAAGAGCCAGCCAAGCGGAGGTGGGCAGGCAGGGGGTGAGGTGGGGAGGCGCCGGGGGGGGGGGGGGGGGGGGGGGGGGGTGAGGGATTTGTAGAGGAGTGGGGAATCTCGGAGCCTCGGGGAGGGGGGGGGAGGGAGGGGGGGGGGGCCCCGATGTGGGGCTGGGAGGGCAGCTGGGGATCGGACCCCCGGTTGACCTGCGGGTTCGGGGAGCGTTCGGGTTGGGAGTTCGAGGGCCGGGGACGCGGGGGAGTCGGGGAGCGTGGCCTCCGCCTCGCTGCCCTTCAGCTGCAGGGAGTTTGCGGCTCATCCAGGAGAGGAGAGGAGAGGAGAGGAGAGCGGAGGGGGGAGAGGAGAGCCCTGGTCACGGAGAGAGAGAGAGAGAGAGAGAGTCTTTGCGGAGCGCTGCTCCGGGCTCATGGGCCGGGAGGACACCGGACTGGAGGGGCTCGAGTATGGAGTGGTGGTGGGGGGAGGGGGTGTGGGGGGCGAGAGAAACGGGCCGCGTAAGAAACGAGCGCGGGGGGGGGGGGGGGGGGAATGGTGGTGGTGGTGGTGGTTGTGGAGGGGAAGCGGGGTGGGGCGGGCCAGGGCGAAACAGAGGGACCGGATGAAATCGGCCCCCGTGGGCCGGATGTGGCCCGCGGGCCGCCAGTTGGACCAGCCTGGGTTTAGAGTGGTCGAGGGTCGGTCGTGGGGGGGGTTTGTTGAGGGACTGGGGGGGGGCTTCCAGCAAGGGGGGAGGAGAGGGGCAAAGGAGGGGGTTAAGTTGAGTGACTAGCAGCTGGCGGGGGGGTGGGGGTGGGGGGGGGGGTTGGAGGTCGAGGCAGCGAGGGGTGGGCTTCATGTGGGTACCAAAGGAGATGGAGAGACGGCGGGGAATTGGAGTTGAGGTAGACATCGGCCGTGATCTCGGAGAGTGCTGGAACAGGCTGGAGGGGCTGAATAGCCGACTCCTGTCCCTATTGAAAATATTCCGATCAGGATGCAAAGCGGATGAGCTCATACTTCCTTGTGCTTCACTCGCTCTCCCTCTCCTCCTCCTCCTCCTCCAGACCTCACTCGCTCTCCCTCTCCTCCTCCTCCTCCTCCACACCTCACTCTCTCTCTCTCTCCTCCTCCTCCAAACCTCACTCGCCATCTCTGTCTCCTCCTCCTCCTCCTCCAGACCTCACTCGCTCTCTCTGTCTCCTCCTCCTCCTCCAGACCTCACTCGCTCTCCCTCTCCTCCTCCTCCTCCTCCTCCGGACCTCACTCGCTCTCTCTCTCTCTCTCTCCTCCTCCTCCAAATCTCACTCGCTCTCTCTGTCTCCTCCTCCAGACCTCAATCGCTCTCTCTCTCCTCCTCCTCCAGACCTCACTCGCGCTCTCTCTCCTCCTCCTCACCTCACTCTCTCTCACCTCCTCCTCCAGACCTCACTCGCTCTCTCTCCTCCTCCTCCTCCTCCAGACCTCACTCGCTCTCTCTCCCTCCTCCTCCAGACCTCACTCGCTCTCTCTCCTCCTCCTCCAGACCTCACTCGCTCTCTCTCCTCCTCATCCTCCAGACCTCACTCGCTCTCTCTCCTCCGCCTCCAGACCTCACTCGCTCTCTCTCCTCCGCCTCCAGACCTCACTCGCTCTCTCTCCTCCTCCTCCAGACCTCACTCGCTCTCTCTCCTCCTCCAGACCTCACTCGCTCTCTCTCCTCCTCCTCCTCCAGACCTCACTCGCTCTCTCTCCTCCTCATCCTCCAGACCTCACTCGCGCTCTCTCTCCTCCTCCTCACCTCACTCACTCTCTCTCTCTCCTCCTCCTCCAGACCTCACTCGCTCTCTCTCTCCTCCTCCTCCAGACCTCACTCGCTCTCTCTCTCTCCTCCTCCTCCAGACCTCACTCGCTCGCTCTCTCTCCTCCTCCTCCAGACCTCACTCGATCTCTCTCCTCCTCCTCCAGACCTCACTCGCTCTCTCTCCTCCTCCTCCAGACCTCACTCGCTCTCTCTCTCCTCCTCCAGACCTCACTCGCTCTCTCCTCCTCCTCCAGACCTCACTCTCTCTCTCTCCTCCTCCTCCAGACCTCACTCGCTCTCTCTCTCTCCTCCTCCTCCAGGCCTTACACACTCTCTCTATCTCTCCTCCAGGCCTCACACACTCTCTCTCTCTCTCCTCCAGGCCTCACACACTCTCTCCCTCTCTCCTCCAGGCCTTACACACTCTCTCTCTCTCTCTCTCTCTTCCAGGCCTCACACTCTCTCTCTCTCTCCTCCAGGCCTCACACTCTCTCTCTCTCTCTCTCTTCCAGGCCTCACACTCTCTCTCTCTCTCCTCCAGGCCTCACACTCTCTCTCTCTCTCCTCCAGGCCTCACACACTCTCTCTCTCTCTCTCTCTTCCAGGCCTCACACTCTCTCTCTCTCTCCTCCAGGCCTCACACTCTCTCTCTCTCTCTAGGCCTCGCACATCCTTCCTTCCTCTCTCTCCCTCATCCTCTCTCTCTCTCTCTCTCTCCCTGATCCTCTCACACTCCCTCTCTCCCTCATCCTCTCACACACTCTCTCTCTCTCTCCCTCCCTCATCCTCACACTCCCTCTCTCCCTCTCATCCTCTCACACTCCCTCTCTCTCTCATCCTCTCACACACTCTCTTTCTCCCTCATCCTCTCACACACTCTCTCTCTCTCCCTCATCCTCTCACACTCCCTCCCTCTCTCTCTCCCTCATCCTCTCACACTCTCTCTCTCCCTCATCCTCTCACACACTCTCTCTCTCTCCTCATCCTCTCACACTCCCTCTCTCCCTCTCTCCTCCAGGCCTCACTCTCTCTCTCTCTCTCTAGGCCTCGCACATCCTTCCTTCCTCTCTCTCCCTCATCCTCTCTCTCTCTCTCTCTCCCTCATCCTCTCACACTCCCCCTCTCTCTCTCTCTCCCGCGCTCTCACCTCCGTTTCCAACCGTCTCTCTCAGCCGCCGCTTCACCGGGTCCGCGTCATCAGCTCCGCACGCGCGGCCCCGCCCCAGGCCCCGCCCCCGAATCCTGGCCCCGCCCTCCAACCACGCCCCCAGATCATGGCCCCGCCCCCCCAGACCCCGGCCCCGCCCCCAGATCCTGGCCCCGCCCTCCAATCCCGCCCCCAGATCCTGGCTCCGCCCTTCGGCCCCGCCCCCAGATCCCGGCTCCGCCCCCCAGGTCCCGGCCCCGCCCCCTCATGCATATTAATGAGGGACCCGAGCAACGTCATAACACCCACAGCAGTAATAAATAATTATGTTAATAGTAATCACAATAGTAATAACAGCCACAGCCATAATAATAATAATTATTATTATGATATTCGTAGTAATCACAATAATAATGACAGCCACAGCCACAGCAGCAACAACAACAATTATATTAATAATAATAATAACAGTCACAACAACAATAATAATTATATTAATAATAATAACAATAATAACTCACAACAACAATAATAATTATATTAATAATAATAACAATAATAACAGTCGCAACAATAATAATAATATTAATAATAATAACAATAATAACTCACAACAATAATAATATTAATAATAACAATAATAAGTCACAACAACAATAATAATTATATTAATAATAACAATAATAACAGTCACAACAACAATAATAATTATATTAATAATCATAACAATAATAACAGTCGCAACAATAATAATAATATTAATAACAATAATAACAGTCACAATAATAATAATAATAACAATAACAGTCACAACAACAATAATAATTATATTAATAATAATAACAATAATAACAGTCACAACAACAACAATAATAATTATATTAATAATAATAACAATAATAACAGTCACAACAACAACAATAATAATATTAATAATAATAACAATAATAATAACAGCCAGAGCCTGACCCACAGCGTCAACAACAACAATAATAATTATATTAAAAATAATAATCACAATAATAACAACAGCCAGAACCAGAGCCACAGCAACAGCCACAGCAATAATAATAATTGTATTAATAGTAACAATAATAATAACAGCCACAGCCGCAATAACGACAACAACAGCCACAATAATAATATTAATGATAACAACAGCAGCCACAGCAATAATAATAATAATTATATTTATAATAATAATAGTAATAATAATAGCCAGAGCCCCAGCCACAACGACAACGACAACAGCAACAACTTGGATTTATATAGTGCCCTCCACCCCGGACGGCGTCTCAGAGCGCTTCACAGTGACGGCTCTAATAATAATAATAATTATCATTATATTAATAATAATCACAGCCACAGCCAGAGCAGCAACAACAACAGCCATAGCCTGACCCACAGCATCAACAACAATAATAATATTAATAATAATAACAGCCAGAGCCCCGACAACATTCATCATAATAATCACAATAATAATATTAATCACAATAATAACAATAATAATAACAGCCAAACCCCGAGTCCCAACAACAATAATATTATTAATATTAATCACAATAATAATAACAATAATCCTTGCATTTGACACAGAGCCTCACGACGTCTTCCAGACGTCGCAAAGCGCTCCTCAGGCTACGCTGTTGAGTGTAGTGACTGTGCGTTTTTCGTGGGCGAAACGCGGCAGCCAATGGCGCGCAGCCGCGCTCCCACAAACAGCCGCGGGATTGAAGGACCAGGTTTATTATGATTGTTATTATCAGGGATTATTATCAGGTGTGGTGCGTATTGGAGGGTGAGGACACTTGGCCCAGGTTTCGCCTGCCCGGCTGGGAATCGAACCCCGGGTCCTCTCGCTTGCTCGCGAGGCGAGAGGGCTCTAACCACCGAGCCTCAGGGACTGCACCGCTTGGAATAACATTAATAATAATGATCCTTGCGTTCGATGCAGCGCCTTATCACGTCTTCGAGGCGCCTCAAAGCGCTTCGCAGGACCCGCTGAGTGAGTGGAGGACCAAAGCCAGAGCTGAGATGAGTTGGGTCACCTCCTAGTGGACGACGTTGGAACAGCTGCGGTAAGAGACCCGGGTGGGGTGGGGGGAGGGCAAGACCTCAAAGACGAGAGACGGGGGTGGGGCGGGGGGTGGGGTGGGTGAGGGCGAGGGGCGAGAGGCGAGGAGCGAGGGGGGAGGGTGGTGGGTGGGGTGGGGTTGGGTTGGGTTGGGTGGGCTTTGAGTACGGTCCGAAACGGGACCGAGAGACACCGGATAATAATACGTTGCAGGAGCCAGAGAAAAAAAATAGTTGTGGTCGAAAATGTCCCACATGCGCTCAGACCACACACATCTCTGCGTTGCTGCGTCATAAATCTCGCGTTTCAAGCGCGGCCCCATCTGCCAGTGGCCACAGGGTCCGCTGTAATTGTCCCCACGGCTGTAATTTTCTCGAACGCAAGTAACGTCTCGCAAACCTTCGAAGGGGCCGGTCCGTATTCCGCGTCCTTACAAGATCACCGGTCGCTCGAGTCAAGGGGGTCATTAACGACTCCGCTGTTTAACGACTCCGCAGACGGGCAATGAAGGCTTCGGGGAAGGATGATATGGTCTGTTACGGGGGCGGGTGGGGGGTTGGGGGGGTGGGGGGTTGGGGGGGTGGGGGGTTGGGGGGGGTGGGGGGTGGGGGGGTGGGGGAGTGAAAAGCACATTCAGCTTATTTGGTTGCACAAATTCCACCTGGTTCTAGGCTCGGGCTGCTTACGGCTGCCGCGTTTCGCCCACAAACCACACAGTCGGTCCACTTGACAGCGTACCCCGTGAAGCGCTTTGAGACGTCTCGAAGACGCGACGAGGCTCATTTTTATTATTGGCCGCGGTTCACAGGAGACGCCGTGAGTTGTTTCGTCGTCAAGTTGAGGGTAAATTGTTATGGTCGGGCCGTGGGGTTGACTGAGAGACTGCGTTGCAACAGTCTGCGAACGGCAAATCTACTTAAGGCGAATAGTATAATGAGGTCCTAATAGACAGAGGAACTCTTGTTGTGGAAAGTGAGCTGTTGGACCGTACAATTCAGACCAAAGTCTAAGTTGAAGGCCGACACGTTCCTCTCTCTCTACGTTCGCTCCTGAGAGGACGCAAAGGGAGAGCAGTTTTCAGAGAAGACGGTAGAAAGTTGTCACCGATCCCAACGTGGTTGGAACACTCAGCGTAGCTCGGCGGTTACAGCCCTCTTCGCCTCGCAAGCGAGAGGGACCCAGGTTCGATTCCCGGGGACGACAACCCCGAACGACGACAGAACAATAATAATAATTTCGTCACCCGATCCGCCGCCGTTTCTGGGGACGCTGCTGGGGGCGATCGGGCCTCCGCGTTTCGCCCGCCGAGGATACGCGGTCGGATCGCTGTGCGGCGTGGCCCCGCCGAGCGCTTTGAGACGTCTCGAAGACGCGACGAGGCGCCGGGTCGAAGGGCAAGGATCGTCCATTGCGTGTTATTATCTTTCAAAATACTGAGCGACGGAACGAAAGGACTTTGCGAAGATAATCTTCACAAAGTCGCGGGTTTGGCGCAGCGCATTTCCAACTTATAACGTAGCAATAACTCTAATAATAATAATAATAATAGTAATAATAATCCTGGCATAATAATCCCCCCGCCTCTCCCCCCCCCCAACCCCGGTGTATAGCATCTCGACCGACGGACGTCGCTGGCTTTGGTCTTGCGTTCCGATGATCAAAGTGCGCAGGAAATATTTTACCGGTCGCGCGCGCGTGCGTGCGTGTGTGTGTGTCTCTCTCTCTCTCTCTCTCTGGGTTTTATTCTCCAATTATAGGGTCAGCGAAAAAAAAAAGAGAAGTGAGCTCCTTGTAAGTCACTGCGCTAATTCTATTCAGCGAGCGAAAAAAAAACAAGAGGCCAACAGTGGGGAGGGTGTTCGACTGGACTGCGGAGATTTGATACCGCGAAGACTGTGGTCTCTCTGTCTTATTAAATAAGAGGATCTAATGTTTGTTGCCATGGTGTAGTAGGTGCCTTCGACTGGATTTATTTATATGAAAGCACCCGACTGCGCTTAATCCAGCAGTCCGCCTTTTTGCTTAGAGGAGTCCCTGGAGCTCGGCCGTTAGAGCCCTCTCGCCTCGCAAGCGAGAGGACCCGGGGTTCGATTCCCGGGCGGGTCGGGACAGGGCGAGACATTGGGGAAGTTTCCTTACTCCACACGCGCACACACGCGCACACACACGCACGCACACGCGCACGCACACGCACACGCGCGCGCGCGTGCCTCTGGTTACTCAGCAGTCAGCAGGAACCCGGCTGTTAGTCCATTGGCGGACGGCCTTTCCGGGGGGAAAAAAATCCCTTCCAAAAAAAATAATAATAATAATAATAATCACTTGGTCACTCAATCCACGACTGTTTGTGCGCAATCGGCCGCCGCGTTCGCCCACAAAAATATACAGTCAATTCACTTTACGGTGTGTTCTGTGAAGCGCTTTTGGGATGTCCTCCCGACGTGAAAAGCGCTATATCAAATGCAAAGATTATTATTATTATTATCATTTTATTCCCAAACTATGGTAATACCCTTACGACCCGGTCGGCGAAAGTCCTTTTGGATGAGAAGAATTTTGCGGGGGGTCAGAATCGGTGACTTGCGTCAGTGACTGTTCGTGGGACACTGCAAATTGGCTGATATCCTCCAGCCACAAAACACACAGTCACTACGTTTCACAGCGAACGGTCAAACCCTTCCGCCTGTTCGGGTGGGATGTGAAAGAGGAAGACGCGGCGGGTGCAAACGGGGGCCTCCGGGAAACGCACAGTCGGCTACGCTTTGTCCCGGAACCTCGTAGAGGGGCTTTCAGGCGGGACCTCCCGAGCCGAAAGGGTGCAGCGTCAAAGCGAAAGGATTATCGCTGCTGTTATTAACGGAAAAATATGACTTTGGTGGACATGTCAGCAGTGAGATCAGCAATCTTGCGAGCTCGGGCTGCTAATAACTGCCAGATTAAAGCACAGCACGGACTTGGCAGGATGCGAGACGATGGAACATAAATATAAATCACCCGCAGAATATTATCCAAGGTCCGTACGTGCTCGGCGAAGGCGTT